TCTGACTTTTTAATGTTATTTTAATACTATATCATCTGTTTATGGGGTTGTAGCAAGAACTTGGTTCACTGTGTATGAGATTTGAAAATTCTCCCATCATGGTTTTGATCAATTGAAATTACTTCATAGATTTTGATTTTATTCTTATTGGGTTAATAATTTTTAGTTATTGTGGGCTGATCAGGCCTGCAATCTCCCAAACAAGTGGATAGTGAAGGCTTAAATAAATGAGACAATTGAAATGATTTTAGGGCTCTAGGAGGGTTTATCTCTCTTGGAATATTTAAGATTTTTCAGATTAAAAGACTGGGTTAAGATCCAGACTTTCCTGGGCAGCCTGTGTTTATTAGGTTTTTAAACAAAGGAGGGAAATACTAAAGGAAACTCAGGAATGTGGGCAGGACATGGGAATCCCTTAAAGGACTGCTCCAAGTAATACTTTATGTTAATTTAGGAGAACTATGTTATCTCTAGGAAGGCCTTTACTGCCGGAGTGAGATATCTGTACCTATAGCCTCCTTTTAGATAATTGGGCTTGGAGCCAAATGTCTTTAGCTGTGGCCTTATCTTATCCTTTGAGGCCTCATGGTTTCACCTACCATTACAGGCCTCAGTAAGGACCAGTGACTGACAAATAAACATGGAAAGCCAATTGGTTAATATTAAATCCTGCTCAGAGCTGCTACATAGTGGGCTTCATCATTTTGCCACTGTTATATCTAATTGGTAATTTTTGTCATTTGGAGATATACTCATGTAACATAAGAATGGCTATTTGATTATACTGAAAAGTGCTTATCATATAGTTTGATTCGTTTGCTGCTTTTTCTTATTTTGTTTACATCTTGGAGTTCCTTGTACATGCATGAACCTCTTTTGTCACACTCTTTCCCTTAGTTATCATTTAGTTTCATGGCTTTGAGTTTCATCTGTGAATTGATGACGTTCAAACATATTCCCATTTTTGACATACCTGTTACCTGTAGACTTGTTTACTCAAATGTGTACTATAATTGTTAGATAGATATCTACTAGGAATTTTAAAGTCAACTTATTAAAAATTGAATTTATCTTTCTTGCCCAGATCTGTTCCTCCCAAAGTTTTCTTTATATGTGTTAGCTTTCTGTCAGTATAATAAAGTATCTGAGATAGGGTATTTGTGTAGAAAGGTGGTTTATTTTTCTCATAGTTTTGAGGGTAATGTTCAGTGGCATAGTCCAGTCTCAATAGCTATTCTTTGCCAGTATCACTTCATGGTAAAAATAGCAGGGGCAAGAGTGTATCAGATCAAGCAGTTGCATCCTGGCCAAATTATGTGTGAGTTAAAATCCTGTATCACTCAAAAGGAAATCAGGACAAACAGGTCCCATTCCCTTTAGAGCATATTCCCTAATAGATTCTTAAGGACTTTGTACTAGGCATTCACTCAGAAAAGTTCTACCACCTTCTGATATCACCCTGGGAAGAAAACTTTAACATACTAACTTTTGTGGGATATTCAACATCCAAATCATAGCACAATCTACGCAAATGACAATTGGATCCCTCTAATTGTTCAGGATAATCATCCCTAACTGTTGTCTTTCTCCTCATGTCTAATTCTCTCAGCTAGTCATGTTGGTGCTATATTCAAATTATTTACATGATAAATCATGACAAATTCTCATGATTACCATCATTAATGTCCTATTTTAAGCCACTGTCATCTCTGGCCTTCATTATTCAGTTTTCTAGCTACTCTTTCTGTTTTTTTCCCTCTCTTTTCCCTGCCCCAGTACAGCCTCTGCCCAGCAGCAAGTTGGTTTTAAAGTGGATGTTAAATCATGTTGCTAATATTCAGAATGTTCGGGGGCTGGGGATTTAGCTCAGCGGCACAGCGCCTGCCCAGCAAGCGCAAGTTCGTGAGTTCCATCCCCGGTACCGGAAAAAAAAAACAAAAAACAAAACAAAACAAAACAAAAACAAAAAAAACCCCAAAAAACAAAACAAACAAACAGAATGTTCAGTGGCTTGCAATTTCAGAATTAAAACCAATCTACAATGATTATGAAGCAAACATTTTTTTATGACATTGTCTCCAACTACTCAATTCCCCTATCCACTCTGCTTTAGCTGTCATCATCTTTTCTTTTTTTTAAATAAATTTGGTCTCGATGCTGTCTGTCTCTAGAATGGTATTCACAGAAAATCAGATGGCTGTTCTCTCACTTTTTAAGTACCTTGTACAAATGCCACTCTCTCAAGAAGACCTCTGACCACTTTACCTCTATATTTATAACTATAATAGTCTCAGCACTCTATCACCCCTTTTTGGTTTCATTGTTCCATAATAATAGTTATCATGTGGCATTCTATATACATTATTTGTTAATTGTATATTAATATAATTAATGGTATATTGTCTTTCTAGTTTCTTAAGTTTATTTTCTTGTTATGAAATTGAAATAAAATGGTGTGTTATATATTATATGGTGGTTACCTCTGAATGGTGAAATTATATGTTGCTTTTATTTTTCTATATTTTTTAAATTTTTTGTTTTATATATATATATATTTATGTCAGAAATATATACTTCGCAAAACAATCTTTAACATGATTTTTCATTTAAAATAGTCCAAGTGAGGTACATTAATGTATGTGATCTGCTTTTCTGATCGAACAAGCAATTTAAGTGTAATAGAGGAATGAATGTTTCTTCAAACTTAATACACTTATACTATTTCATAATTAATTTTCTCATTCCTATAGTTCAGAGATTAGCAATCAACTGTTTGGATGGTAAATATTTTAGACTTTGAAGGCTGTGCAATCTCTGTAATAATAGTTTAACTCTATTCTTGTGCAAAAGCAGCCACAAACAGCCAGTTGGATTTTAGTTGGGGGCCATAATTTGTAGATTCTTTCTGTAGACTTTGAAATGCAAGATTCTTTATCACAGGAATGAAAATATGTATAGGCATGCTACCTAAGTCCTGATCTCTTTACCATACACCAATTATGAACAGATAACATTAATGAATATAGTATTTGAGTACATTTCTATAGTCTTTCTGTGTTTAGAAATAAGAAGACTAATTAGAAGGCTTAGAATATCTATAATGAATATTTGATTTATTTCAATATGTATTCTAATTCTATGTATCTTAATTCATAAATATCGTCTCAATGGAAAATATTCACTATATCCATTTGAGACTATAAAAACTCCACAGTATACCAGAGACTCTGCTCTCACCTTAAGCTTTTTCCTGATTCCTGGGCATCAGGAATCCTTTGGCATTTCGTTCCTCTGTGATTCTCTTCTGAGGACCATCAAAATGTTGACAATTCATAGGCTGAGAAGCCTATATGATAAAAGCAAGTCTGTTAAATTGGCAATTTAAGTATATTTTTTCTTTATCTATTTTTTTCTGAGAATATATAAACAAATATTTGACCTATTGTAATTTATTGATGAAAATGGTTTAAATTTTATTTATAAACTTTTGAATTTTTTTTCAATTTTTATTTTTTATTAGTACATGTTTGCATTACATAATGATTACATTCCTTGTGGGAATTTGTACATGTACACAACACATCTCCATTCTTTTCTGATCTCCATCCGTCTCTTCCCTCCTCTCTCCCTCCATCTCTCAGTCCTTTCCCATTTATAAAAGAGCTATCTCCTTATTTCTTATTATCTACTTTTATTTTACTATTTATGTATATATTGGGATTCTCATTTAAGAGGAACCATGTGATACTTAAACTTGTATGTCTTATTTCATTTAACATTATAGTGTCAAGGTGCATCCACTTTCCTACAAATGATTTAACTTTTTCCTTTTTATGGCAGAATAGTATTCCACCATACATAAACATCACACTTTCTTTATCCAGGCTTCTCTTGATGTTTGTAATAGGCTTATTCCAAGATGTAGCTGTTATGTATTATACTGCTATTACCATGATTATGCATATAATATGTAATATGTGTCTTCAACTCTTTTGAGAAGATACTTAGAAAATAGTGGGGTTGAATGAAATTTCTACTTTCATTTTTTTAAGGTATCTGCATACTGATTTTCGTCGTGATTGTACAGGTTTACATTCTCACCAACAATGTTGAAGCATTCCTTTTTTACCCACAGCCTCATCAACTTTTGTTATTATTTGATTTCTTGATAGTGGCCATTCTTTCTGCAATAAGATGGAATCTCAGTGTTGTTTTACTTTGCATTTCTCTAATGGCCAGAGATGTTGAACATTTTTTCATGTGTTTATTGGCCATTTGTACTTCTTCTGAGAAGTGTCTATTTCAGCTGCCATTTTTTGATGGGTTCTTTTATTTAGGTGTCCAGTTGTTTGAGTTCTTTAGATCTAGATGTTTTAAAAGAATAAAATTAAAGCCATACTTCTTTGAAGCTTATGTTTGAAATATTAAATTTCAAATACTTAAATGTTACCTATTCATTGGTTTGAGATTTACTTTTAATGCTATTTCCATGTAAGTTTTAAAATATTCCAGATGTGTAGAAGCATATAATTAGCACAGTTTGTATGGCTTAACTAGTAATGAAAATGTGAGTTTATTCTTTAGTAAAAGTGATTAAAATATTCTTAAAGTATCATGAAATTATTTTAAAATTTTTATTTTTTAGTACTAAAATATTTTATCCTAACTTCAACTACAATTTTTAAAAAATTGATTTTAAAAATAAGAGAAGGAAAACACATTAACAAACAGACAACCATTTATAAAATAGCAAAAGAATAATACAAACAATACAGAGCAATTACAATTTTTAACAGTTTTTGATATTTTAAATTGTTATAAAGCACTCATTAATCTAGAAAATTAGAATAACCAATCCTTTGAAACTGAAATCCTTAAGTTAATATATTTAATGTGTAATGTGTATTTATTAAAGTGATTATAATTTGAAAACATGCTATGTTTGAACTTTGTTTCAATATGAAAATCTTATATTTGAATCAGACTTCTTTTTTTTTAAGTTTTGTCCATCAACTAAAGGAACAACAAGATACCTCACTTCTACTGGTGCTGATGGAACAATCTGTTTCTGGCAATGGCATGTGAAAACAATGAAGTTTAGGTATGTTTAAAAGAATTTAGAATTTTTTTGAAGAGTCAAATGTATTTATTTTTATTTATTACCTTCATTCTTTTTTTGACATAGGATCTTGCTATGTCATACAGGCTGGCCTTGAACTCGCTTATATAGCCGGGCTGGCCTCAAACTTATGGCAGTCCTCCTGCCTTAGCCTCCCAAGTGCTGGGATTACAGAAGTGTGCTACCACACCCAGCTTTATTGCCTTCGTTCTTAACGCAAATTTAAATATATAGTTGTGTATACATATCCATACATACTTTAATTGATGGTTAGATCTTGTTGAAAAAACATTTGATGGATTCTTTTGAAGAGATAAATTCACATGGGAAATTTTGGTATGAGGAGTTTCATTTCTGACTTGGTAAGAACTCTGAACTTTTTATAATGGTAGTGGTAGGTAATATGGTAATATGTTTGCAAAACTGTAATAACAGTATGGATATTTATATTTTCATTTAATGGATTCTTAACCTGAATGGTGGAAATACTACTTGTTGGCATAGTGCTCATTGACAATTCCCTTTATTTTTTTCTACAATACTACTGCTAAATCTGGCTATATCCAGTAGTATGTTAAAATTCTTGCCCCAAGAGCTAACTGTGATGGTACATACCTTTAGTCCCAGCTATTGGAAATCTGAGCTGGGAGGATCACTTGATCCCAATAATTCAAGACCAGCCTGGGTAATATAGCAAGATTCCCATCTCAAAAAAGATTTTTACCCATTAGATGAGCATGATAAAAAATAAAAACATTTTTCTTTGCTCTTTAGAGATCGCCCAGTGAAATTTACTGAGAGATCCAGACCTGGAGTTCAAATATCTTGTTCATCTTTTAGTTCTGGTATGTACAAAAATTAAATGTTTTAAATCTATACATGATAATATGCTTTAATTTTAGGATGAAAAAATGTATATGCTTGAATATAAGGGAAAAACATCAAAAATGTGCAACATATGCTATACTTAGATGAACCTTTGTGGACTCTAATTAACATGTAATAATGGTTGGGTTTTAGTATTATTCACATGTTAATGCAAATGTACATTGCAGATTTTATTTTTTAAAGAAAATGCATTCCTGCTCCAAATATGTATTAACAAAAATGCACAACACCCCAAATTTAACACAAAAATTGTGCCCTAATTTTAAAGAAAATATGTAGTTATGCCTGCATGTAGAAAATGCTTTCATAGGGTGTAAACAGGGCTTTTTATATAGCTAAGAATCTTCTTTTCTTTTCTTTTAACTTGAAATTGAACTCATGACCTCATGCTTGCCAGGCAAGCACTATACTGCTGAGCTATCCTTGGCCCCTTAGCTAAGAATCTTTTTTGTTTGTTTGTTTGTTTTTCTCCAGTACAGGGAACCGAACTCACGACCTTGCGCTTGCCAGGCAGGTGCTGTGCCGCTGAGCTAAATCCCCAGCCCCTTAGCTAAACTGCTTAAACTGCATTTTTATTACTTTTCAGTGTAAAATACATAAAACTTATCACTTTAAGTATTTATAAGTGTTTGTGGCATTAAATATATTTATATTGTTGTGCATTATCACACCATCATCTCTGTAGTTTTTTCATCATCCAAAAGGCAAATGAATTTTTAGACTCAGCCACTATAGCTGTTAAAGGAATCTTATAAATACAGATCTATAATAAATACTTTTAGGACATTGTGTTTTTTCAAAAAATATAGAGAAATTAATTCAAGACTATGACCATTAGTATTAATGATCCATAAAGCTATATTATATGTGTAGTTGATAGATTTTGTTAGGTGAATGATACGGTTGCCTTAGGTATTTCTCTTGTTTTTATTGAATTTTATGTCTTTTGCTTTGAATGTTAGTATATTCTTAATAGTTAGAAGACAACCTTGAATTTCTTGAGTCATTTTTAGTAGTATATAGTTGTATACAACTAAAAAGCAATTGGAGATTTTTAAAGCTCTTTGGAACTATGTTATTGTTTAATCTTCTAGGTGGCATGTTCATTACAACAGGTAGCACTGACCATGTGATTAGAATTTATTATTTGGGTTCTGAAATCCCAGAGAAAATTGCTGAACTAGAGTCACATACGGTAAGAACTAAATGGAAAATCTGAATGTGTTGCCTTATGTTTTGACACCTCTGAAAAATTGCTTTCATTTTTTCATTACTGATCTTTACTCTTATATAACACAGTTTGGTAATAGAAGCTTTATGCAAAGATGTTTCTTTAGTAGTGACAAGTTTGAAATTCTGGATTTATGATGGTTGTGGCATGTAAGTTCTATTTCATGACTATATAGAAAAAAATATGAATGTTTTATATTCACTGTATTGCAATAATTTATGGAAGTCCTTTTTAACCTGTTGTGTTTTATTGTATGAGGTGTTTTTATATAAAATCTACATACTTATTAAAAGCCCTAAAAAATATGTCTTAAGACAAAGTATTTTTACAGAATTTATTGATCTTAGAGTGATTAGTTTTAGAATGTCACCTAAGATTTGTGGAATCCTGTACTCCTTAGATAATTGTAACAGTCTTATATACAAAGAAGTAGATGCATGACTTGGGGTGAAAGCCATTGGTGGCTAGGTGGCTAGCCATTGCTCTCTTCATCTGTTCTCACTCATGGCTGTTTTAGGAAGCTTTGAGGTACATTTATTTAGTTATATCCTTGTACAATTTTTATCCAGCTTTTCCTTCCTTTTAAAATAATTATGTACTATGGATTATGGGAATATTTTTGTGTCCACTCAGTGTTCATTTCATGTGCCTATCTCAGCTGTTTTGGAAGCAACAGAAAACACTGAGCTTTGCAAATCTTAATGTTCCTGTTCTTATTTCAGTGTGTACCTCATTCGTAATAATATTAGTGCACATCAATAGCATGCACACAGTTTCTCTGAATGGTGACTTAAAAAGTATTTATGATTTGCAAAATCAATCATGTTCTTCAAATTTGCAGTAAAATAGACTCCTGTTAGAAACCTCCTTAAAGCGGGTGAAGTAGCACATCCCTGTAATCCCAGAATTAGGGTGTTCAAGGCCGCAGGACTGTGAGATTGAAATCAGTCTAGGCTACATTGCAAGAACTTTTCTCCAAAATGAAACAAAATGCAAAAGAAAAAACTAATAATAAGAGAAAAGAAACCTTCTTCTGGGAGCTTTTAGAGTCTCTTGCTTTTTGTCCTAACATGCAAACATAATGGAACATTTTCCTTATAAAGACATACTGAACCCAGCTGAGCTTTCACCTTGCTGTCACTTATTCCTGCCTACTAAAGTCCTATAATATTATTTAAGTTGTGAAAGAGAAAATTTTAGGAAGTATTTGAAGGTCGCAGTCTGAGACCACGAAGTAGAGAAAATCCATTCATCTTTGAACGTGCCTAGGAGGTATTCTTGCAGTTGGTACCCAAGTAACGTGTATGTACAAGTTAGTCAAGTTTATTGAGAGGTAGGAGACGAGAGACTAAGTGAATGAGGAAGAATTAAGAATGAACATTATGAAGAAAATTAGACTCAGTGGTTTTATTTGTAGGGAGTCCAGCTAAGAAGAACAATGTGTAAAAAGTAAATACACCCTGTTGCAATAGGTAATGGCTGTTAGTCACTCGTTAATATGTTCTTTCAGAACATCTAAAACCAATAACTGCAATTGGCAGTCAGAGCTCTGCATTTATTTAACAGATAAATAACAGTGAAGTCATACCAACAAAATGTTAAATGAATCTAAGTAACAAATTACATGAAGAACAGGAATTGATTGTTTTCTAAAATTAAGTAAAATTAAGTTGGAAATTTCATCCAACTATTATTAAATAAGTTTTAAGGCGGTATCTTAGACTATGGTGCTCTGTTGTGGGAGACATAATAAACTAATGTCTATTCAGAACTATGCGTCTCGTGATAGGCATGATAAGATTTGCTATGTCTGGTTCATTTCAAATTACTACCTCTTTAGCTAATATATTTTTAAGACTTCATTGGTTATTCTTTTTAGAAAAGTAGAGGCTCTTTCAGGAAAATTATAGCATTAAAAAATCTACGCCATGGTGCCTTTGCATGTGTGTTTGAGGGGAAGAGTGATGTATTTTTTTTTTTTTACAAATAAATTCATTTTAACCAAAAATATTTTATTTTATGTCTTAGGACAAAGTTGTTGCTGTTCAATTCTGTAACAATGGAGACAGGTAATTGTTTCATATATATTTATATAAATAGATATTTGAAAGTTTTCTACTGTTTCCTGGAGCTGACTGCCTATACTGTAGTTATCTTATTTCTCACTATTCACATAGGTTTAAAACACTTTTCTGTCTTTGATAAGAATTTTAACCATTTCTTCTACATTCTTAAACAAGTAGTAATCTTATCTTCCAGTCATATCTACCCCTACTAATCATATTTGTCAGTTCATCCTTACTGAATGCTTCTTTTTGTTTATTTTGTTCCTTCCATTTCTTTTACCACTCACCTCAGTCAAGAATGCCATTGTTTGAACTGTGCATATCTGCCAGATAAACATTATGTTTAAAAGTCTTTAGTATTTCATCCTTTCTGTCTCTGGAATAGAATTCAAACTTTTAAACATGGCATTTCAAAAATCTTTACAATTTAAACTTACATTCTCTTCTCATGTACTATTCGCCCTATGAATTCGTAGACTCAAGCCTAAATGATTTATGTGTTGTTCGTGTCCCATTCCGTGTATAGTCCTTAAAGGGTTTTCCTTTGTGGTGCCAGGGATCAAACTAAGGGCTTCGTGTACACTAGTTAAGCACTGTACTACTGAGCCATATCCCCCACCCCCTGCCAGCTCATTCATTCCTTTAAGTTATGCATATAATTCCATGCCAGAAATGCCATTTACTACCTTCCCCTAACCACTTTTTCATCCTCTTCTATGTCTTTCCCCTCTCTTCCCCTTTGTTTACTCTGTTCTCTCATTCCCTTTTATCTAAGTCCTATCTTCTTTTTAAGGTTCATACCATATCGAAGCTCTTCCTGAGCGCTCCAGCTTTGTATATCTTGACTTCCTTTGAGTATTTGCATCAGTTATCTCTCCTGTTCATATGAGATATATTTCTGTGTCTGTAAACTCAGCTATACAGATAGCTGTGAGCTCTCTAAAATGACTGATCCCAAAAAGGTGATAATTTTTCCTGTTCTAAATTTTGACCCAGAATGGATTAAAAATTTTAACCATTTAGCTTAAGTTTGTATCTGTGTTTATAAGGACTTTATGTTGGTAACTGCTTTATTTTAAATTTGTGTTGTGCTGTGAGTGATTGCAATGATGAATTTATCTTCATTAAATGGAAGAGTGGCAAGAGTGAAACGGTGGCTTACAAAGTGATGTCTATATTAAGAATGATAAAACCTTCAAGTCAGTTTCAAGATTGATTTAACTGTATTGAGTTGTACACTTTTAAGATTTGTATGTCTGCTATTTTTTGTAATAGAAGAATAGGAATTTAAGGAGAAGCATTATTTTCTTAATTATTTGTGTCAATTAACACACCACGGTATGTATTATTTAAACTAAATACAACAATAACCTTAAAAGAATATGTGTATACATATATGTGTGTGTAGACAAGTATGTATAGAGATTTCTAACTTGCTTTTCCTGAAATAGAATCATTTTATATCAAAACTTTCCAAACACTGCACAAATAAGAAAAATAAAGTGGAACAGTCATGCTTATAGAGGAGAAAATAACCCTAAATATTTCAGAATTCGACATAAATTTCACTTCTGCTAAAGCATTCCCTGAAATAACTAGTTGTATTTCTTTGTAAATATGTGTTTGAAGAGCATTTATTTTAAGAATGCAAAAATAAATGCAGTAAATATTAGCCATGCTAAATCTGCACTAAATATAAAAAAAATTATCTATGGAAATCTAAAAAGCATATGGAAACTTCAGAATATGTAATGTGTAACATGCAGATGTTTGAAAAACCAAAGCATTAGCATTAAATTTGTTTGTAAGATAGGGCTGTAGATGATGGTACTTTTTGTTTATGCTTGAAATTCTTTGTAGTACTTATTTTTGTTATAAAATAAGTAATTCGTGCTCCTTAAAGAGATGCCAGAGAAATTTCAAATAAAATAACACTTTTTTCGTTAAGAATGAAAAGATAATGAAAAATTATAACACTCAATATTTCCAAGTGTTTTGGCAAAATATATACTTTGCTACAACTTTTCATGAATTTATAAATTGTTTAAAAATCTTTTAAGGGAAATGATTTGGCAGTACGTATCAAAAGCTTAAAAATTGTGCCTACTCTGACTCAAAAGATATGTATAGGGTTATAAAAAGAGAAGTGTAGAGATCTTAATCACAGTGTTATTTAAAGACTGGAAACTATATACTTATTAAACATTAGGAGATTAAATAAATTATGATATGATCATATAGTTAAACACTTATTAAAAGTGATGATAGTTGTTAACCATAGAAATAGTTCTGCAGAATACATTTAAGCCAGGGGAAAAAAAACTTTATATGTAGTGCAGTTCTGTTTCCTGTAGGTGAAAATTATAATTATTTATGAGTATATTTAAGTCTGAAGGAATAGAATCTAAACAGTGACAAGATTGTGGACAAATGTATATATTATATTTAAATAACACCTTTATTGAGATACAATTCACATAAAATTAAATGGGTTTTCATATATTTGTGGAGTTATGCAGCGATTACCACAGTTAATTTCAAAATAAATTTTATCACTCTTTAAGGCCTGTACCAGTGTTGGCGAACCTTTTAGAGCTTTCAGTGATACAAAGAGCCCACTGCAGCACAGTTCTCCAACCCTCCAATCCCTCTTTTCCCAGTGTGGGCAACCATTACTCTAGTTTTTGTCTTTACGTTTATTCAGGATCCATAAATATTACAATGTATATCATTATTTCTTTTTTATATTATAGAATAATGTTCTGTTGTATGGATATGTAACATTGTTTGTCCATTTATTCATTGAGAGACATTTGAGTTATTTGTACTTTTTGGTTAATGATGAGTAACCTGCCATGAATATTAATGCACATATTTTATCTGTATTTATGTTTTTATTTTCTTTGTATATATAACTGGGAATAGGATTGCTGGGTCATATGGTAAATTTATGTTTGGCTTTTTGAGGAACTACTACACTGTTTTCCAAAGTGATTGCATCGTGTTATATTCTTACCAGTACTGTATGAGGGTCTTATTACTTTTATAATCAGCAAAAAGTGATTCTCATTTTGGAGAGAAGTAACCAAGGCGATTTTTAAATTTTTCTTTCTAGTTTGAGATTTGTTAGTGGAAGTAGAGATGGAACAGCAAGAATTTGGCAATATGAGCAACAAGAATGGAAGAGTATAGTGCTAGACATGGCCACTAAAATGAATAGGTAAGGATTGATATTAGATATTTCGGTAGTTCTCATATGATTCATTATCTTTTAAATTGAATTATGTCTAATAATAAACATAAATATGTTTTTATATTAGTAAGGAGTTTAAGTTAATTGGTAGATGTGAAATTTACACCGGTATTCTGTCTCCAAGAAAAGTATTTTTCACTGTTGATTGCTAGACTGGAACATTGATTGATGACTTACCCAAAATTCTACTGTGTTGCAACCCTAAGATCTGTTTTACTGATTCCCATATAATCATTCTTTGCCTTAATTTTCCATAGGGCATGTTTTCTATAATTCTGTAGTAATTTTTACTTTGAGGGTTGTCCCTGTTAAATACTATCATATGTTTAAGTTTTTCTTTAATTTTACTGAGAATTCCTTTATTAATTTATTTTGTTACCATCCCTACTGAGGATCATATGTACAGTTAAACAGCATACTGTTTTGCTATCTTTACTGCTGATTAGATGATGTATAATTATCACTTTGGGATAATATAAATTTTTAGGTTTGCTCTTTAAATTATTTTCTTATGAATAACAATATAGAGCTGACTTGGTAGTCCTAGCCAACTGTTGTCAATGTTATATTCAGTTCAGTCAAATGTTATTGAATTTCTAACTGCTTTTTATAAGACTAGTTTTTTGAAAAATCAACATTTAAGGGAATAGAGTACCAATTATGCATAAGCAACGTAATCTCGGATTTTAATTTTCTAGTTATTTGTAGATTTCTTTCTTTTTCTTTTTTGGTATTTTCAAGTAACTATTTACTGACCACGTTTTTGTCATATTGAGATCTTTTTACTCCCAGAAATCACGTCATGGTTTTTGCCCCCTGCAGGTAAATTTTTTTATCTTGCATAGTTCAGTGTATAGTTTAGTATTTTTTTTCATCTAAGCAATTGCATGTTCCTGGAAAATTTATATTATAATTTGCTGTTTTGTATGTACTTTTATTAATAATTTGTGAGGTATAAATACTTCAAATTGTTTTCTTTAGGAATAATTTGCCATCTGGTGAAGACAAAGTCACTAAACTAAAGGTGACCATGGTAGCCTGGGATCGCTATGACACTACAGTTATTACTGCAGTGAACAATTTCCTTTTGAAAGTTTGGAATTCTATCACAGGGCAGCTTCTTCATTCTTTATCCGTAAGTATTTAATTTTTAGGGTCATTAAAATGGTCAAGAACTAAAGGCATAGCTCAGTGCTAGTGCTTACCTAGCATGCATGAGGCCCTGAATTTGATCCACAGAACTGCCAAAAAAGTTCTCTGTGCTGGGTGTGCTGTGGTGTGGTTGCATATAGCTATAGTCTATCACTCAGAGGCTGAGGTGGGAGAATTCCTTGAGCCTAGAAGTTCTAGATCACTTACACGCAACATTAAAAAAATATTAAAAAGCACATTATTTTAGGAGGCATAAAATTTAATTTGAATTTCCTGTGTATGACTTACTAGTCTTTGGAGAAATAATTACTTAAGGTCCATTTCTGCAAAAATGAGGCTGACATAAAGTATATCACTAAAAACAGATAAGAAATCTTTGCAAGATCATTTCCGAGTCTAATACTATACTCATTCATCTATTTTAGTATGCAGTTAAAAATATGTAAGTTAATTTCTTTTTAGCAAGGGTTAGGGTTTCTCTCTGTTAATGTTTAAGAAGTATTCTATATACTGTATTCTACTTGTAGTGGTTAGTTTATAGAATAAGTGGAGGTAAGAGCAATTAGGAAAAAGGTGGTTTTTCTTTTTTAAAATGTATTTGTCTTAGGAAAAGACTGCAGTGTTTGTTGTGTGCAAAGTTGATAGGATCAGTATAATCATATGGGTGATGATATTTCTCAGTTTAACTGGCTGTGGATTGGTTCCACATTATATTCTGTTAAAAACCCTTAATTCCTATGTTTCACTTATCAATTTACCAGCATTTCAAGAGAAAGCCAAGAGTGTGATAAGATTTATGCAGTAATAAATCATAGGATTCAACTCAGCTTTCTTTGTAGAATACCATGTCATCTTTTTAGAGATAATCCTAGCTGAAAGCTAGTGAGATTTCTAAAGATTTGTTTAGTTTGAGAAGAATTTTTGAATTGATTGTTTCTATACTTCTGTAGTCATTTTTCCTACAGAAACCTGTAACACTGTGTTAGTGAATTTCTGCATTCTTCCTTTTATCTCCTGAGCTAATGCTTATCTCATTCTGACTTTCCCTATTTCCTAACAGAGATTTCTTTTAATATGTTTGAAGAAACATATACTGTTTGCTTGACTCTTTTTTTTTCTTTTTTTTTTTCCATACCGAGAATCAAACTCAGGACCTTGTGCTTGCCAGGCAGGTGCTTGTGCCACTGAGCTATATCCCTGGCCCTACTTGACTGTTTATTAGAAAATACTTGTCTACATCATCACACTCCAGTGGAAATATAACACACTTTTATAATATTTTTTCCAGTGGCCATGATCAAGTAAAACCTAAGTTACTATTTCATTTTATCTGCTATATCTAAAATACTAGTATGTCTACATGTAGTTATTATAGAAATTATTAATGAAATATTTTGATTTACTTTTTCCTGCTAAATCTTTGAAATGTGGTATGTATTTTACACTGACAGAATCACTGAATTTGATCTAGCTGCTTTTAAGATGTTTAATTCGTTATATATGGCTAACAGTTATACTCTTAGACAGTCTCTATATCTAAAAATCATACTTTCAAGGGCCATTATACCTATTGATTTTATTAATCTATGTAAAATTCTGTCTTCATAAGTTCCTTAATTTAGAGTTGTATTTAATGGTGCTCTTCTAAGGGGCTGACTCCTGGGTTTTCTGTTTTCACTAAATTTTAACTAAAATTTTAGAACTGACATTTAATCATTATAATAGACAATCTATTTAGTTTGGTATAGTACTTATATTTCATTTATTACACTTTGAGGTATGAGGGTCCTCATACCTCAATCCAAGGTAGGAGTATGGAAAGCTTTTGTATTTAGCAAATGGTTTTGAGCATCAACTCTGTATGTGACACTGGGTTAAATGGTAAATTGAACAGTCTCATCCTACTGGAACTTGGAGCCTATGAAGCAATGAAAACTTTAAATCAAATAAGTTATCCATAAATATAAGCTTCTAACAGGTGACCAAATATGATCTGGAAGTGTTTCAGGAAAGCTTCCTGAGGACATAAACTTTGGATTAAAATTTGAAAGATAAGTAAAACATTTCGCACAATTTAAGTTACCTCCTTGATTAGGCTTTTCCTTATCAAATAATCCAAGATAGCCTACCAGTCTTTGTTTTAATATATCATCTTGCTTTTTTTTCATCACTGTCTTTCACTGCCTAGTATTTTCCTGTTACTTTTCTTTTTTTTTTTTTTTTCCTTTTTTTTTTTTTTTTTTTACTTTTCTTGTTTCTTTGTTTGTGTGCAGTTTTTACATGATACGTTGTCACTGTATACGTGGGGAAATGATATATATGAGGGGATTATTAGGAGGTATTTCCAGAAATACAAGCTGCATGTTTAAAGGCCCTAAGGTGGAAGGGAGCTGAGATAAAGATAATTTGGCCATAGGAAGGAGAGCAGAAAGTCTCATCAGATAAGACTGGAGAAGTAGATAGGGGCCAAATCATTCAGATCTTGTAGCTTACATCATATGACCCAAGGAAACTGAAACCATTAAATGGTTTAAGGCAGAAAAAGTATGACTCATTTCAAGTTGTTTGTGTTTAAATACAGACAACTCTGTATTTAAAAAATGTCGCAATTTTGACTACAGTAGAGAGAGTATTTTGGGATAGGTAAGAATAACGAAAGGTAGAATGCAAGAGTCTGTGATAATAGCCAGGATGAGCCATAATAATTTAGATGTGTGTGTTGGTGGTAAATAGAAGTGTGTTTAATAAATATAAATGTAGCAAATAATAAATCTTAGGACATTCTGATTTTGAGTAGCTTTTATTCCTCATGATCCAGTGACTGTCCTAGGGCATGTGCACACAATGAAAAATTCTGTTTAAAAGACATTTCCCCCAGTGTATACTGAAATACTTATCATTGTCATTTGAATGAACGATTTTTTTGTTTTGCTGGTGAAGAAACCAAATATTAGCTATATCAAACTGATTCTTGAGTAAGGACTTTATTTTAGCATAGAAAGCAGTTTATCATTAGTCACTGGGAAGATATTTTTATAACCTTTGAGCAGCTATGATATTTATTGCAATGAGATTTTACCTACTTACTTTAATGCTAATTTTGAGCCAGTCTGGTTATTTTTTAATAAGTCATATTTTTGTTCATAATGCTAACATGATAGGGTACTCTCTTTCACTTGCAGGTTTTTTTAAGTCTTTTTTTCTTCCTTATTATTATATGTTCGCAATGTATAATAAAACGTGTTGTGGGAAATTGGTACATACACACATGTGTCTTAATTCTTTTTACTTCCCTTTTTCCTCTTTCCCTTCTATCTCCTCTTATTTTGGTATCCCTTTCCTGTCTCCACTGTCTGTGTCCCTGTTTCTTACCACCACCTTTTATTTTGCTCCTTAAATTATTTATACTTCAAGTTTATCATAAAAGAGAAACCATAAGATAGCTAACCTTGTGTCTCCGATTTATTTATTTATTAAATTTAGCATTATGCTTTCAAGGTACATTTTTTCCTACAGATGACTCAAAGTTATCCTTCTTTATGCTTGAATATTATTCCATTGTGCATATATACGTATCAGTTTTATCCATTCATCTTTTGATAGACATATAAGCTGCTTCCAAGATTTATGTATTATAATTTGTCCTGCTATAAATGTGTGTATGTATGTATCAGTGTAATATAGACTCTTTTTGGGAAGATACCTACAAAAGTATAGTTGGGTCAAATAGAATCTGTACTTTAGTTTTCTTTTTCTTTTTTTTTATTTTTTTTATTTTTTTTGGTTTTTGGTTTTTCTCCAGTACCGGGAACCGAACTCACGACCTTGCACTTGCCAGGCAGGCGCTTTTGCCGTTGAGCTAAATCCCCAGCCCCTAGTTTTCTTTTTTTATACTGGGAATCAAACTGAGGACCTCATGCTTTCCAGGCAGGTGCTGTGCCGATGAGGTATATCTCCGGCCTGTAGTTTAGTTTTCTGAAGAATTACCGTACTGAAGTCTTTAATGGTCCCATTAGATTACATTCCTACTAATATTGTAAAAGGATTCCTTTTTCCTCACAAACTTGCCAGCATTTGTTGGTTTTTTGAATTCCTGATGATAGCCATTCTTTCTTGAGTAAATGAAATCTTTTTTTTTTTTTTTTTTTTTTTTTTTGTCTTTTTGAGACAGGGTCTCGCTATGCAGTTCAGGCTGGCCTTGAGCTCACTTTGTAGCCCAGGCTGGTCTCGAACTTGCAGTGATTCTCCTGCCTCCCAAGTGCTGGGATTACAGGTGTGCGCCACCACACCCGGCTGAGTAAATGAAATCTTGATGTTGTTTTGATTGCATTTTTCTAAAAGCCAATGATGCCAAATACTTTTTCATGTACCTATGGGCTACTTGTACTTCTTTGGAGATGTTTATTCATTTCAGTTGCTCATGTTTTGATTGTTCTTTTATTTTTGAGGGTCTAATTATTTGGAGTTCTTTTTGTCTCATAATCTTTACTATTTTGTTTTGTGTTTGTTTTAAAACCTTTTAAAAATAAAAGAAAATATTCTTAGCTTTACAAACTCTATATCGACCTTGTCTGGGAGCAATTTTGGCTTAACAACTGCTGGCCTAAGGTCTGTATATTGATAGATTTTCATTTATTGAAAAGAAAACATAGAGCATAAGGGTTCACAATTATTTTTCTTAGCAGAAAAGCTGTTTTTCAAATAGCATGTTAAAGGGAACCCCCAAGTCTAAAACAGATATTTAAAGCAGAGCCGCTGAGCCTTTTCTTTGAATGTGTCATGGGGTTACCCAGATAGAATTTGAATACCAGTGGTAGAGAAAGCTGAGGAACAGTGGTTTGTCTGTTATCACTGTGGCAGGAAAGAACTTTCTGGAAAGATTCTGTTTCTCACTTTTTCTGCAGCTTTTTAAATAATAGAATCCTAGAATTCTAAACTGTACTTCAAGGACCTATTAATGAGCTCTAAGTACCTTTCTGGGTGTTCTAGCGGTTGCAAAATTTGTAAAATCAACAGTTGTACGTTTAAAGAACTCTAACGGAACTTCATCTAGTGCCCATGTAGCAAATGCTGTGAAATTGATATACCTGAACTCATCTGAATTTGATAGCATTTTCAGGACTTTTGGGACAAAAAACTCGGATATTTTGTTTTACTTTTTATTTTTAATATTGATTTTATCACAGGGACATGATGATGAAGTATTTGTTTTGGAAGCACATCCATTTGATCAAAGAATCTTACTTTCAGCGGGTCATGATGGGAACATTTTTATTTGGGACCTTGACCGGGGGACCAAAATTCGAAATTATTTTAACATGGTAAGATAATTTATATTAAAACTGACTGCTCTTGTGTGATAATTAGATAAATAATGTCAATCTAGTACAAAGGAACTTCAGAGAATGACCCAAGGCCTGAGAATTAGATTTTTCAGAGTGATTCTGTTACTGTGGTGTGAGGATTTTCCCAGTTGTCCTCAGTTTAAAGTCCTTAAACTCAAATTTATTAATTGTGGAATTTACCAAAAGCACAAAAGAGTAATGTTTAAATTGTTATCCTAATTTGTGAATAACAAAAGTTATTGCAATACTTGTATGTGCCTCTTAGTAATACGAAGTTGGCTAGTATCAGATTTAAAGATATATATGCTTTTAAGATACCCTGTGTATAAATCATGGAAACCATTGATGATCTCTCTCTTCTCCCATAGAACATCCTTCTCTGGTGATTCAAATAACTAATATTCTCCGTATTTGGTGTCCTTCTGTTAGTAGTTCTGACCAAACACTTCTAAACTGTTGTTTTCCCTTGGAGCTTACATCTGGAAACTTTATACAGATGCAAAGCATTAATAATACCATTTTTTTGTTAGTAAAATTGGTTTGTGTGTTTCAATTTAGGATGGTCGTTTTAAGGCTTAAGTGCATTACAGTTTAACATCTGACGATAATATCTTGACTTTGCTGAGAGAGTACCTTTGTCAATTTAGTTGAATTTAAGTCTTTTAAATCTTCTCAGTCACCCATTTAGTATTCCACAAAGTGTGACATTGCTAGCAATGATTGATTACTTGCCTTACAAATTAACTCTCCCACATTTTACTCTGAGCTCCAGAAGCCAGAGAGTACATTGGAAAGTTGCTACCTCACAGAATCCAAAGTATTAGCAAGGAGAGGTTATCACCTACATATTATTTTTAAAATTATTCTGAAGTTGACTTACAAAGACTCCTGAATTTCAGATTGAAGGTCAAGGCCATGGTGCAGTGTTTGATTGTAAATTTTCACCAGATGGAAATCATTTTGCCTGCACAGACTCTCATGGGCATTTGCTGCTTTTTGGTTTTGGATGCAGTAAATACTATGAAAAGGTTAGTATATTTAACTTTTGCTGTAGACTACAATTTAGTATTGCATCATTCACATTTTTGAAGTCTTTTGAGGTAATCAATAAGGGTTGTTTTACGTCAATAGATACAAAATGAAAAGTTGTCTTTCTCAGTAAAGTTTCATTTGTCATTCCCACAACATCTGTTTTGGTGGTGTATGTCACAGTGAGATAAGACGATGATGTAGGAATAAAAATTTATCAGGAAATTCTGTTGCTTAGAACAACTGCCATCCAGATGTAATAGGAGTAAGTCAACTATATTGTACCCTTTTATGATAAATTGGGAATCAATAGTGATTCATTATTGTTGAGCTTCTAATGTCATTGATGTGATTGATTTTTATGTTTCATCATGTATATTTCATCCATCCTCATTTGAATGAAAACTAAAGACATAGTTATATAGATTTATACAATTTTCATAACAAATAAAATTACCTCATCATACCTATTAGATTTTTGCTTTACTTCATCCTACCATAATTAGAGAAATATGATATAGGGCCAAATACTAATACAGATTGTAGAGTTTTATAGTAGTATCTTTGCTTGGGAGGCTGAGGCAGGAGGATTCCAAGTCTGAGGTCAATTTGGACAACTTAGTGAAACCCTATCTCAAAATAGAGACTACAAAGGGCTGGGGATATAATACCATGGTAGAATCTTCGCTGTTTCAATTTCTACTATAGTAAAAAACAGAAACAAAAAATAATTAATATACAAGTTAATTTGCTCCTACCTAAGTGGAATGTATGTTAATGTGGGACTACAAGGGAATTCAAGAATTTTCAGATTCAAAAATTTGTTTGCTTTTGGAATGAGTATATGTGCCTAAAATATAAATTACCTGAATGTGTTAAATATTAAAAACTCTGTCATAAAGATTCCAGATCAGATGTTTTTCCATACGGATTATCGACCTCTTATCCGTGACGCCAATAATTATGTATTGGATGAACAAACGCAGCAAGCTCCTCATCTCATGCCCCCACCATTCTTGGTGGATGTTGATGGAAATCCTCATCCCACAAAATTTCAACGCCTAGTACCAGGACGGGAAAATTGTAAAGATGAACAACTTATACCACAGCTGGGATATGTGGCTAATGGTATGTTATCTTTAAATGTAAATTTAATACACTTTATAAAATATACTTGCTGCTATTCTGTGGTATACTTCTCACTTAACTGTGGGGCAGATATTATGTATTATCTACTACTTCTTTTAGTTTTCAGTTTTATAGTATTTTTTACCATACCAGAATACTTTTTCATTGTTTTTCTCTACTGGACACAAATAAGCTCATTAGAACAAACATAAGCATGTACTCAAGTAGAGAATATGTTGGCATACTTCCAGAAAATCCCTTAAAATACATATATTATCTTGTTGTCCCATATACTGACTTCTGTTAATGATTATACTGACTTTAATACATAAAGCTTTTGTAACTGGTGGAATTCCAAGTGCTCATAGTGTTGGTATTTTAGTCTGAAACTTCCTAGTTAGTGGACATAGAAGAGGAAACGTCAGAAACCACAAATTGGAATGCAGTTATTACCCATTCTCATACTTGAAATACAATTTGTTCTTAGATATTGGGAAAGTGAGTATGAGTCTTTAACAATCATGGAGGATCGTGAGGAAGTACAGACGAATGTCAAGTCTAATGGGAAGTAGTATAACAAAATACTGGAATAAGCTATTCTCTTTCAAGGCAACTTGGACTCTTTAGATCATGTACTTTTAGATTGTATGTTTACACTATGCATGCTGCTCCTGCTCCTCCTGCCACACTCAGTGCCTTCATATCTCAATTTGATACTTGGCAATTTTCATCAGGTGTGAGGGAGTGAGTTATTGATTTATTTACTAGAGAATTAATTGCTTGAACTGATCTTCATAGAGTGAAATGCAACGTGTTATGTTCTCACTTATAAAAGATTGTGCAGCAATGAACTGGTAGTGCACATGTACCAGTTTTTACTCTGATGATGTCATTTATGAGCTGAGGAGAAAGTGAGTGTTAAAACTGAAAGCATCTGAATAAAACTAATGTATCTATTTCCTATCTTAGAAGTTCTTATCACATGGTAAAACTATCAGGTGCCATTTGACCTGAGTAACAGGACAAGATGAAAAAAGATATGATATATAAAGTTTTTATTCAAAGTAAAAGAATTTCCTTCTGTTAGAAATTGTTTTTCTTATCTAAACAGAAGTGTTTTCTCAAAAGATAATGTTTATTTGAAGGACCTTAACTGTGACTTGTTTTTAGAAAGAAATTTTCACCAAAGAAAGATGAAAATAATTTTAGGTAACTGAGCTTTGAGTAAAGCATGGAGAAAATTTATTGTAAAACTAATTAAAAGTTATGCATTAAGATGAGAATATGTTCATCTGTCTGATTTAGGAGCATTGTTTAAATCAAATACAGAAGCTGAAATATTGGAACATTTAAAAAAAGTATAAAATTTTTAGTATATATTTTATTTTCATTTTGAGTCTGTTTATATTTATTTCTCTTATTTGTAGATTAAGATTTTTTTTACTATGTTTAGGATATACTAAAATGTATTCAATTTTGTGCCTTTATATCTTTGGTCTTATTAAGGTGATGGTGAGGTGGTAGAACAAGTAATTGGACAGCAAACCAGTGACCAAGACGAGAGCATTCTTGATGGGATAATCAGAGAGCTACAGAGAGAACAAGATCTGAGACTAGTTAACCAAGGAGATGTTCCAAATTTTCCAGTTAATAGATCATACTCTGTTAATGGTGGTAAGTATATATTTATGAAAGATACGATTATAATATACCTTACTTTACTTATACCAGAAAAGTATATGTGAAAAAACTTTAAAAATGAATGGTAATTTTGTTAACAACTGTGATGTAATATATTCCAGACTGCCATAATTGAATTAGCATTTATAAGCAAAATAACTTAGCATTTAAATACAGGTGGTATTTTTATTTATTTTTTATTTTTATTTTCAAGAGTAAAAGAAGGTTAACATAGTAATGGGGGGGCTTACCGAATTACAAAGTGGTAGGAAATTATCAATGGTTGTTGTTTTACATACTGTTATCTACAAGATAGTTTCTCAGGAAAACACATAGACAAATAATAGTGAGTTACAGACAAAAGTGGTAGGAAATTATCAATGGTTGTTGTACTATACTTTGGTATCTTCAAAATGGTTTCTAAAGAAAATAAGTAGAGCTATTCATGAGTGACCAATTGAATAACCATTGACAATTCTCAATGGTTGTTGTAGGAAACACGTAGTAATAAACATACATCCATTTATGAAATAGTATAGGAACAACACAAACATTACAGAGTTATGGACAGATTAGTAGGAAAATATCAATGGCTGCTGTAATGCATGGTGGTATCTTCAAAGTGGTTTCTCAGGAAGACAGAGATATGCAAGGAAGATCTAACAAGTAGTTACAGCCTAAGGGTTGTGAAAAATAGCGTATTACCTCCTCACCAGTGACTCCTTTCAGCTGGAAGGAAGGCCAGGATTGCAAAGAAGGACCGAGAGACTTGCACCTGTGTCTAGCAACAGGCTGTTTTCTTTTTCCTCTATAGTCATGATTACCCCGGGCTCGTCCAAGGAAATGACAGTCTGGCCAGAGGGAGAAGGCAGAGTATGCCCCGGGCCCCCTCATTCCTGTTGGACTAACTGGTAGGAAGGGTCTGAGCTCTGGGGCCTCCACTTTAGAGCGCAGACCCATCTCCAGTGGTCACCTTTGCATTCAGCACATGGCCCAGGGTGCTCCCTAGGGCAGTTCCTCTTGAGGTGGCCTGGCTTTTAACAGTGGTAGCAGATGAATGTAGTTATCAAGTTATTCTTGGGTCTCCGAGAATCAGACTTAGGGTCTATGACTCTTAGTGCTGCAGCAAAAGCAGCTGCTTTTTCTCAATCTTTTTGTTTAAATATAGGTGGTATATTTAAATAATACTGCTTTCTTTCAACTCAGCTTTGTAGTCTTACTTCCATTGTAAGAAGTGAAATGATATAGTAAGTCTAGCTCTTTGGTAGTGGAACCAACCTGTAAAATTTTCAAAGTTAAAACCACTTTACATTTATTTAGAAGCTAAACCACCACTCCTCACTCCCCAGTAGTTGATGCTTTGTTGAAATGAAAATAGTGTACCACCTGCTCTCTTGAATTTGCAAAAATATGCTGCAAGAAGAGAAACCCTCTTCTTAGGGAATAGAGATGTAACTTGGATAGTAGCATGATTTCAATACTGGTAGAATTTACTGTATAATTAATTACTCTTTTAAAATGAATATTCTTACTTATTCTATCTCATCCTTTACTTTACATGAAATATGCCTGCCTAAGCATCTGAGTTTTATACAAATCTGAATGTGTACCAGTTTTTTTTAATCAATAGCTATTAATTTTACATTAAAATGCAGGCTGATGGGAAATTTGCTTTTTCTTTTTTTCTTCATTTATTTGTAATTTTATTTGGGTAAAGTGGTATTTGGGATTGTATGGAAGTAAATAAGGTGATTTAATTTGAGGTGATTCTCAGGATATTTTGTTCATTTCTTCATTCATTCAGTAGCCCATAAAATTGAAATAAAAATGGTTCTTCATTTAGGTCATTTGGAGCACCTAACTCAGAGACACTTTCCTGAACCTGGAGCAAGACACAAAAAGCCTGATAATTTCATATGTTTAGGCCCTCTTTTTCTAAGACATTAAACTTTCTTAAATCCCTGACTTACATATGCATTGATTATGTGATGCATTATTTGATTCTCCCTGTAACACTTTTTCTGTGGATAGATTTGAAATGCCATTAGTCAGAAGGACCCTACTCACCCTATTTGCAGCAGTTTTTATTTTTCTAGTCTTTTATTAGTAAAGTAAATAGTAGTAAATATTAGTAGTAATATTTAGTAGTAAATAGTAGTAAATTAGTAAAGTAAAATAGTAGTAAAATATTTCAGTTTCCATTTGAGTTTATTTGCAAATAAGGAATAAGTAAATTAACAGGAACTAGAGAGAACCAGATTAACAGAGAACCAAATGAAAATGAAAAGGTTCTGTTTTTCACTGTTCCTTAGCATTGAAAATAAAATTTTAATGTTAAAGTTTTGTTTCACTTATATCTTACTATTTTTGAAAGCTTACTCTGATACGTTCTAATGGAGTAAACAATAGAATTTAGATTAAAAAGCTGCTTCCTGAACTATTATCTAATAAACATTGTGAATCTCTCAAATCACATTTCAGTACATTTTTGTATTTTTAATGAAGTAAATATCAGCTGGTAAAGTGCTTTACAAAAAGTTAAAACAATGTTGAGGTTTCTGTTGAGAAATCTGCTTTTACTTTAGGGTTTGCACTTATAAGTGATTTGTCACTTCTAACAGCTTTTAATACTTTTGTTCTGCACTTGTAACATTCTGACTATAATGTACTGTGGAGGTTTCTTTCCTAGTTGTGTCTATTTGGGGTTTTAAACACCTTTACCAGGATATCTTTCTCATGCCCCATGTTTCAGAAATTCTGTCCAACAATTTCTATAGAGATTTTCTGCATCATTACTTTGGTTCTGGCGCCCTCTCTGGGCCAATGAGCCTTAAAGTTTGCTTTTAGGTTTATACAAAAACTCCTCTTGCATGGTTTGCTTTTTACTTCTTTTTGTATTTTAAAGAGAAGAACAGTAAATAATAAAAACAATGCTATAAAATTTCAAAACAATATTGTAAGAGAGTAACAATGTCCAGTACATCATGCATTGTTATCTTCAAAGTAGTTGTTCGTAATAAAAGATAAAGGCATGAAAAACTGATCAAGCAACATAGGCATATTCCTATCCTTTCAGTGAGCTAATAGCAATTGGTATTACATCTATTTTAGCTATCTTGTTTGTGTGTGTATATATATATTTTTTTCCTTTCCCGTTTCCTTTTCTCCTTTCCACCACTACAGTTTCTTTTCCCTTTTTAGCATTTTCTTCCTATTTCACAATATCTGTTGTACTTTTGGGGTCTTATTTGCTTTTTCAGCTTCTTACAGTAGGGAGATAATAGGACGTTTGCACATGCGAGACTGATTTATTTCACTTATAAGTGTGGACTCAAGTCATATCCCTTTCCCCATAAATGTCTCATGTTTATCCTTCTTTATAGCCAAGTAGTATTCCATTGTATAAAGATACCACATTTTTTATCCATTCCTCTAGAACATATAAAGAATTGAAAAAAAAAAAAACCAGACATCCCCAAATTCAAAGACCCAATCCAAAAATGGTCATCTGAGATTAATATGTACTTCTCAGATGAAGGAATACAAATGGCAAATAAATACATGAAAAAGCATTCAATATTATTGGTCATTTGTGAGATGCAAATTAAAACGATGATATTCCATCTCACTCCAGAGAGAATGGCTATTAGCAAGAAATCAACCAGTAAAAAGTACTGGAGGGGCTGTGGGAAAAAAGGAACCCTTCTCCTCTGTTGGTGGCAATGAAGACTGGTACAGCCACTGTGGAAATCAGCGTGGGGATTCCTCAAAAAACTAGGATTGCAGGTCACATTTGACCTAGCTATTCCCTTGCTAGGTATCTTCCCAGAAGAATTAAAAGCATCATAGCACAGCAATATATGTGCACCCATGTTTATAGCAGCACAATTTGTCATAGCAAAATCTTGTTTTTGACTTGTTATTATTTTTTCTTTGATTCTGTCTTGGTATTCTAGTACTGCCCCCCTGTCTTCAGTTCCTGATATTATTTTTTCTGATTCATTTTTTCTATTCTCTGGACTTTGAGCATTTAATTTCACTTATTAAGGTTTTCTATTCCAGGATTTCTGCTTGGTTATGTTTCAGAACTTCTATCTCTTCAATGAAGTGGTTCTTCACATACTGCATTTTCTTCCTTACTTCAGCCAGCTGCTTATTTGTATCTTCTTTGAGCTCATTGATCACTCTACTAATTTATTTGTTTAGCTACTTGTCTCTTTGAGCTCATTGACCTTTTTAACTCACTTTTTAAATTCATTGCCTGTAATTTAAGCCACTTTGGTATCTATAAGATCAGCTTTTCAAGAGTTACATATTTGTGAAGGGCTTTGTTACATTGTTTGTTCATTTTAGTTGTGTTTCTGTGTTGAGGTCCATAGATCTTTTGGGTAAAATGTCCCTTACTGTCATGTGGGGTTCTTTTTTATAAGTGGCTTTTGCTTTGTGATGTGTTTTATATGAAATCAGAAAAGATCAGAAAAGCTAAAGCAACCTTGACAAAAAGAACAGTCCTGTACAATCACATTACCAGACTTCATTCTATATTATAAAACTGTATTATAAAAACAACACGGTTCTCATATAAGAATTGATGTGTAGACCAGCGGAATAGAGGAGAAGGCATAGAAACCCATGTACCTACTAGCATTTGTTTTTTGGCAAGGGTGCCAAAAACATATGCTAGAGGAAAGAGAACAGCTTTAGTAAATGGTGCTGAGAATACTGGGCATCCACATGTAGAAATTGAACCTAGATCCCTCTGTTACCCTGTACTAAAATCAAGTCAAAATGGGTAAGGACTTAGAAATATTTAAACTACTGGAGGACACCAGGGGAAATACTTGAAACCATAGGCACAGGCAGAGACTTCCTGAATGGCACTCGAAAAGCAAAGGAAATAATCTCCTGAATTAACAAAGGGGCTTACATTCAATTAAAAAGCTTCTGCACATCAAGGTAACAACTTGAAGAGACAGACCACTAAGTGGGAGAAAATCTTCCCTAGCTATACTTTTGTTAATATCTAGATCATATAAAGAACTCAAAAAATAGCCCACACCTCCCCCAAGAGAATCCAATCAGGAAATGGGCAAGGTAACTGAATAAATGTCAAAAGCATTGTGAATTTGGACATGGTGCTGCAAGCCTGTAATCCTATCAGTCTCAGAGGCTGATGCAGCAGAATGGCAAGATCAAGACCAGTCTAGGCATATCAATGGTTTAGCTAGACCCTGTCTCAAAATACCTCTGGGGATGCAGTTCAGTGTAAAGGTCCTGGATCCAATCCCCAGTACTGCATGCTCACACACACACAGAAAAGAAGTGCAAAAGGCCAGAAATCTGAAACACTGTTCAACATCTACCCACCAGAGAAATGCAAATTAAATGAACTTTCATACTCCATTTCACCCCAGTCAAAATAGCTATCCACAAGAATATAAAAAACCAATGCTATCCAGGATGTGGGGCTGGGGGAAGGAGCCCTCCTAGATTGTTGCTGGGAGTATAAACTAGTAGAACCATTGTGAAAATCAGTATGGAAATTCCTCAAAAAATAAACATAGAAAAATCATTTGATCTACCTGTACCATGGCTGAAAGACTACATACTATAGTGTTAAATGTATCCCCATGATTATGGCTGTATAATTCATAATAGCTGAGCTATAGAAATAGCCTAGGTCTCCATAAACATATGAATTCACTTTAGAAAATTTGGTATGTATACACAATGAATGTTACTCAGGTACACTATAAAAGAGAATGAAGTAATGCCTTTTGCAGGAAAATAAATGGAACTGGAAACTATGATGTTAAGTGAAAGAAGCCTGAGTTAGAAAGTTAAATGTCATATATTTTCCATATATAGGAAATATCAAATATATATACATTCATACATACATGCACAAAATATAGAGATGAGACTAGGGAGTAGAGTTTTAGATACAGGGAAAGGAATGAGTAGGAGGGGAGAAAGAGAGGAAAAGGGAGGTACTCAGACTGAATGATCAACATATGTTAAATACATGTACTGACTTTCTGAAACAAGCCCCACCAATCAGTTGTATGCAAATTTTATCTTTGTGTATGAAACTGTCAAAAATAGAACCCATAAATCTGTATAATCAATTAAAAAAGAAAGATAAAAATCTCACCATTCACCAACAGGTGCTAATAAAAAATATGGAAGTACTCACCTGGAATCACTGACTGCTCTTTTCTAACTTAGCATCAAAATCTATAATTTGAAGTGCCCTCACTATTTTGAAATCTAGTTTATTATTATTTTTGTTTCTTTTTGAGACAGAGTCTCACTATGCAGTTTCAGGGTGGCCTTGAGCTCACTTTTTAGCCCAGGCTGGCCTCGAACTCAAAATGATCCTCCTGTCTCAGCCTCCGGAGTGCTGTCATTACAGGTGTGTGCCACCATGACTGGCTTGAAATCTAGTTTAGCAAAAGCAAAGAACTGAGATTTGAAACGAGTGAGGTAGAGAGCTGCTGAAAGCTACTTTAACTGCTTTGTCAATAGTGAAACTTCCCTGGGAGGAGTGGTACATTTTGGTGTTATTTATAATGAGACCATTCTGTTTAGCAGTTCATCTCCTATTTGGTTTCATTTTAAGTTAATTTGGGGATTTTAATCAGTCACTTTTGAATAGTTCCTGTACATGTGCCTCTGAGTTCTCAACTTTTTACCAAAATTGGGACCCTGTTTTATTCATCGCTGTACCTCTAGCGCATATCTAAGTGACTGTCATATACAAGGAAGTCATACAAATGAATGCTTGTTGCTTGATAAGAAGTTAAAGGAGATATAAAAACTTTAAATATTTATTGATTATTTTATTCATAATACTTTAAATGACATAGAGGTAACAGAAAATGTAGAACAGAGGTATGGGTTACTTCCAACAGTCCTGTCCTTGAATCTCCTGTTTTATTTAAAGCTCTAAGACTGATGCCTTTGCTGAGAAAGTTCTATTTTTCCTTGGTTTTGTTTTAGCTCTAAGAAGTCCAAATATGGACACATCTTCCCCAAATATTGGGCTTCGACGTAGTGGTCAAATTGAAGGTGTTCGGCAGATGCACAACAATGCTCCTCGTAGCCAGATAGCCACTGAGCGAGATCTCATGGCATGGAGCAGGAGAGTGGTGGTCAACGAATTAAATACTGGAGTTAGTAGGTGAGTACACAGCATAACATTCATAAGAAAATTTAAAGTTATATTTTTAGTAAGTAAATTATATTAACTTAGCTTGAGTCCTTCCCAATTTTTTTCATTGCTATAATTAGTTCAGTGCATTATACATATTATCTTTGGTTTGCTCAGCTTTGTGCTTAATGGTTTGAGGAATACTGAAAATGCAAAGCATGATTTCTGTTCAGCAGTGTTTCCAAGCATAGGCCATCAACTGGATATCAAAACTATTTGGGAGTACAATGTAGATAGATACTAGACCTGGTGATTAGAGAGTATTTAGAAATGGACTTCCTTGGAGAAAAGTATTTCATTGTGATAAATCGTAGACCTGGAATCCCTATTATTATTATTATTATTATTATTATTATTATTACTATTTCTTGTACTGGGAATTGAACATAAGACCTTGTACTTGCCAGGCAAGCACTTGTGCCACTGAGCTATATTCCCAGCCCTGTTATTATTTTAAAGCCATAACATTTGCTTTAATATCAGTTTTAGATAATCCACGACAATCTGAAATGGATATAGAAAAGACCGAAGCTAATAACAAAGAACATGTATAATTCATTGCAGTCATATACCTCCCTGACCAAGCCTTTTAGCAGATCAGCCAAGGAGCAAAATTCCATTTGGTTTTATCTTTCCTTTGTTTTTTTCTGTCGTAAGTGGAGAGCAATAATAAGAAGAAAGTGTATATAGCTAATTTATGAACTGAGTGCTAAGCCTTGGCAGTAGAGCAATTAAAATTTTGTACTCAAAGCTTTAAAAGTAGAATTGAAATCAGGGAATCAAATATACTCGTATACTCGTATACTTGTGTGTTTTGCAACATTATTAACAGTCAAACAGTGTAAACATCTCAGGTGTCCATCAGCAGATGAAGAGATCAAATATGGTATTTCCTTACAATGGAATATTTTTCAACCATCAAAATTAAGAAGTTATAATATCTGCTGTAACATGAATTACATGAAAAGCAATATGCTAAATGGAAGAAGTTAAACATAAAAGTAGAAATATTATATTATTCCTCTTACATAAAGTATCTAGACCAGGCAAATTCATAGACAGATCATAATTTAGGCATTACCAGACTGGAAGAAATGGAGGAAAATGGGAAGTTATTGCTTAATAATTATAAAGTTTGTATTTGGAGCCAGGAAAAATTTTTTGAAATTGAGCACTAATGGCCATACATTCTGAATTTAGTTAATGTCATAAAGTATATACCTAAATGGTTAAAATGGAAATTTTATATTTGAAAGTTTTTTTTTTCTCTTTTCAACTATTAATTTCTGTTTTAATGATTTTCTATTTCTTTGACCTTTGTTTTTTTCTTTTTCTCTTTATCAGGTTACAGGAAGAATGTCGAATTGCAAAAGGTGATATGGAAATCAGTCTTTATACAGTTGAAAAGAAGAAAAAGCCATCATATACTATTCAAAGGGTAAGTTTAGTTTTTCAGCGATGTAGGATACACTATTTACAAATATTCACGGATATTAGGTGTTTGAAAGTCACAAGTTATGTGTGATGAGACTTTTAATAATTTTCTGGTTATAGGGAAACTGTTTTGGAGCCCCCAATTGAGTAATATGCTTATTATTAATAAAAATAAAATTAGAAAGTCAAGCCTGTCCCCACAAATGTGGAACATAAAGAATTTGGCAAACTGTAGCCCATGGTCCATATCCTGACTGCCTCTTATTTCTGTTAATTAAATTTTATTAGAACATAGTCATACTTGTTCACTTATATCTTACTTACAGCTGCTTTTATGTTATAAGCACAGAGTTCAATATTTGCAAAAAATTATATGCCCTGCAGAGCCAAAAATACACTTTCTGTTTAAAGAAAGTGTGCTGACCCTTGTCTTCTACCTCTTCCAGGCCTACCTAATCATGTAACAGCAAAATCTGACATATATGTAGTGGATTCACTTTCCTAGTTGAGACTCCCTAAGTGAGGAATAGGGTGCCTGTACCCAATTAGGTGCTTGGCAAGCTCCTTATTAATACTTTCAGATTCACTATACCAAGGGCATAGGAATATATGGGTTCCTTTCCCCCACCAGTTCCAATTATAACTTCTGTAGTGGACGGTAACTCAGAAAGTATAGGAAATTTAGGCAATGGACCAAAAATTGTAAATTATTTTCATTATCAATAAAATTCAGGTAATTATTATACAAATGTCTCCAAATATTCTTAGGTGACTTTGATGTCTGCTATAAAACTTCTATTGTGGTTTCTACTTAGCTTTTTTGCTCTTCTTTAAAGGATTAATTTTCCAAGTTGATGCATGACTCAGATACATGATTTCTATTCTTTCCTTCTAAGCAAGTTTATCAAACATCACAATTTTCTGAGAATAATGCACAGGGTGCTTTAGACTATAGACATTTTTGTATATGCCAAAAATGAGAAAAATTTACATGTGAGAAATTGATCCTTGAGGCTGAGTTATAAGACTTACACTTATTTAGTCCTAATAATATATTTGGATTACGGCTTTTCCATATAGTATATTCATAATAATGTTTTATATTTCTAAAAGGAAAAAGTATTTTTCACTTTAAATTTGGTTGCTCAAATTAAATCTTGTATTTTATTAAGCAACTCTCTCCTGGCATTCAGGGACTGAGCTAACTTGATCCTACAAATCTTTTTTAATTCATAAGAATTTTAATACATTGGGTATGGTGACACATGCCTGTAATCTCAGTACTCTGGGAGACTGATTGCAAGTTCAAGTTCAGCCTAGGTAATTTAGTGACTTACTGAGACTCTGTCTCAAAATAAAAATGAGAAAAGGACTGGAGAGATAGCTCAGTGTGAAGGCCCTGGGCTCGAACCAAAACAAAAAGTACTATAAATGCTAGTATAAAATGATGTATAGGTAATTAAATCAAATTACGTATTTTAACAATTTAAGTTTCCCTAGATTTCTTTTTAAAGACTTAAAGATGAATGCATTAAGAATTATGTTTACATGAATATAATATAGATGTTTCCTTCATCCCATAATTAACATGAATAATATGGTATAGATAAATTCTGATGGGGTAAAATCTTGCAACCCAGACATTCAACACACTCTTTAATTTGATCAAAAAGTTTTGAAATTAGGAAAATCATAAATACTAGTAGAAAAAGGATTTTGTATGTATTTGTAGTTAGATATTAGTTTTGTTTTTAACAATATATCTTCACCCCTTCTCTCTTAACTTACTTAGTTTACTGTATATATATGTTCAGTTTTTGTGTATTTACTGACCTTTTCATTAATTTTGTAAAATGTATTTTCTTTCTCTTTTACAGAATGATTATCAGCCTAGTTGTGGGAGGTCTTTACGAAGGACACAACGCAAACGTCAACATACTTACCAAACACGGTCCAACATGGAGCATAATTCACAAGCAATATGTCAAAATTCTGGTGTACAGGATGATTTGGAAAGCTCCTCAGAGGTTAGATATCTGCTGTTATTCATACAATGTAGTTGTTTGTTTCCTAGTATGTATCATCCATTTGGCTGTAATTTAAAGACCTATTTAAGGGACAGCTATTTTAGAAATTTACCTGTAAGAGGTTTAGTCACTATTGAGGAAATAGACCAATTTGGGTATCATATTAAATTCTTTTAAGTGTCTTTTCTGATTTGTACCTAAGAGATTATTTTAATGAGATTATGATACATGTCAGCAAATGTTTGGCTTTTGGACAGTGAGAAGAGACAGGAAATCTTAGTTATGGAAGGAATTCAAATATAAAAAATGGTAACAAATTAAACAGTTCCAGAACTAGCTGACTGTGTAATTAGCATAATGTGTTCATTTTCTGTTATTATTGATGTATTACTAGGCTTTCTGTTGCTGTAACAAAATACCGGGCACATATAACTTTAAAAGTGAAAAGGTTTACATTTGCTCACAGTTTCAGAAGTTTCAGTCTATGGTTAGCTAGATCTAAGGCAGAACTATGATGGAAGCACATAATGATATTTCTGCCTAGAGCAGAATATCATCTTCTAGCTGTTATTTCAGCTAGAAGAAAGCTGCTAACCTCATGGCAGATAGAAAATAGAGCAATCAAGCAAGAATCAGAGAGGAAGAGGCCAGAGACTAGATATGCCATTCAAAGGCATGTCTCTAGTGATCCACTTCCTCCAAATATGTCCCACCTGCTAATAGTTCATTTAGCTATGAACTCATCAGTGAATTAATTAATCCATTGGTGAGGTTAGTGCCTTCATTATCTAATCACCTTCCAAAGTCCCACTTTATTTTATTATCTATTTATTTGATTGTTTGTTACTTATTTATTTATTTATTTTTTTGGAGACAAGGTTACTGTGGTGCGGGCTGGCCTTGAACTCGCTTACATATCTCAGGCTAGCCTTGAACTCATCTGCCTCAGCCTCCCGAGTGCTGGGATTACAGGCATGGGCCACTATGCCTGGTTTAAAAGCCCTACTTCTGGACGCATGAGCCTTCTGGGGGACATTATTGATCCAAACTATAAAAACTGACTTCCCCCATTGTAAATCACTGAGTGTTGATTTTTCTCAAACTTACCTGTTTCATTTCAAGGAATAAAAAAGTAAATCCATTCTTTTCTTCCTATTTCCCTGTTCTGCATTCCTTTTGTTCCATTAGCAACTCTGATTGTTAAGTGCATAATGAGGGATTGACAAAGTATGGCATTCTCATCCTTCTGCCAATTGCAGTTGTTAAAGTAATTTTCCTCAAAAGTATCTCCCCTTTCTCCCAATGCACCAGCTCCTCTTTATGAATATTTTGATATTAAAAGAATGATCACATATAGTATTTTTAAAACAGTTTTTAGTATTTCAGAGGATTGCACTGTATTTGGGCTTAAGAAGTCTTTCAGGTTTTTGAATAATCAAAAGTTGTTTTACATCAGTAAGAAAATATGTGCCAGAAATTTTATACACCTGACAGGTTGACTTGTGAGTTACAGATATATGCAGAAAAATAATTATGTATATTGTAACTAGCGTTTTTTCAGGGGGATGAAAAGTGTTAACAGAGCAGATAGTGGGTTGATAATAAATATCATACTAAATAATAATAAGCACATACTTCAATTGCTGCCTTTTTATTTTAGGAAGATGAAACTGTTGGCACAAGTGATGCTTCTCTAGAGGATCCTGTCGTTGAATGGCAAAGTGAAAGTTCTTCCAGGTAGTTTTAATGGTTTTAGTTTGGTCAAGATCATTCAGTAGTTTTTAATCTGAAATTATGTTTTTGTTGGAATTTAATGAAACTACAGTTAAAATAGTATTTGTCTAGACATGGGAGCACACACATGTAATCCTAGCTTCTTGGGTTGCTGATGGAGGATCTCAAGTTGAAGACAGCCTGCGCAGCTTAGCAAATCTATGCTTTAAAATAAAAATTGTATGACTCAGTAGGAATGTCCTTGCCTAGTGTGAATCAGGCCAGGGTTTACTTCCTAGTATACAAAATACATTGTATTTTACATTAGAAAGAGTATGGGGTTGGAAGCCTAAAGTCTTGACATTTTATCCTGGCTTTGCCAATGTCTTCTTGATAGCATTATGTGCTTTTCAATTCCTTCATCTCTAAGATAAGATATTTTCTAAATCTGATATTCTACATCTTGGAATGCATAGATATAGATATAGGTGTAGTTATAGATATATAAATATTCGTATATGTGTATATTTATTTGTTTTAAAATAACCATATTTCACTAGTTTTAGAAATGCAGTACACATTACTTTAAAGAAGTTTTTGTGGTTTAGACAGGTATTTTAAATCCTGTTGTGGGGAGTTTCAGGGTTTAGCTCAGTGGTGCAGCGCCTGCCTGGGTCCTGAGGTCGATTCCTGGTACCCTCCCCGCAAAATAAGAATAATAATAATAAATTCTGTTATACAAGCAAGAAGCATTTCATTACAGTAACGTAATTAACAAACAAAATTCTATATTCATATTTTTCTTATCTTAACAATCAAAATTCAATATTTTTTTTCTTTCAAGCTACATAATTTCTAATGCTATGTGATAACAAATTGATCATCTTTAAATTATGAGGTAAAATTATGCCCTCTTGTAGTTAGATATTCATCATTTTGATTTATTTACAGTGATTCATCAAGTGACTATTCTGATTGGACAGCAGACGCTGGAATAAATCTGCAACCTCCTAAAAGACAAACGAGACAGGCAACTCGGAAAATATGCAGCAGCTCTGAGGAAGAGAATTTGAAGTCACCGGAAGAAAGGCAGAAGAAACCTAAGCAGACTAGAAAGAAGGTTTGTAAATGTATAGGTTGTTTTGGTTTTGCTTTTGTTGTTTGTTTTTTCTATTAATACTTTGTTTGTTTTTGCCATTAGTACTTGAGGATTTGACAGTAACCTTTGACTTCTCTCTGAAAATAGCATTCCACCTGAGAAACCAAGTAAATCAAAGTAGCTAAAATTGATTTCAGATATAAAAAAAATTTGAAAGACTTGTCTAATCAAAGTAGAGGCTAGAATGTCTTTATCATTGTAGTTTATTAAATTGAAACATATTGACAATTATTTTTTAAAACGTAGCAAAGTTGTAAATTAGTAAGCCACAATGACACAAAAGTATTATTCTTGTCCTGTTACCAGTCGTAAATCTCTAGCATTTTTACTTGAAAAAGAGAATATAATAAACTATGTAGGGCTCTTCTGTCATTCTTTTGTGTTTTTATTTCATCTCACTAGTGAAATGTGTTCTATACTGTAATTTCATTTAGCTGACATAAAGAACTAACCCGCATAATTCTTTAAATTTAATTCAAAAATTTATTATCGATACATTCTGTATTCTGTTACTTGGCATAATTATGTTCTTAATATCGCTATTTTATTAACAGAAATTTATTTTGTTACTAGTATATCAGTTCATGTAGTACTCTAGACATACAAAGAGTCCAAGTTGTGATTTTAAATGGCATTATGTGGCACGTTAAAGTTACAGTTTTTAGGTGGTGTTTCATGTCAGGTTATTATCTGTTGGATAAAGTGGAGCAAGTTGATATTTTTTTATTGGTAGAAAAGGTAGGTATAATTGCTAAAGGAAAATGTTTAAAATTACTTTAGGTTTCCATATAAACTGATACTTTTAACATTCTTGATCTGCTATTTTTGATAGTGTTACTCATGTATATGTAAATATATATGTATATTTTATTTTATTTTAGAAAGGAGGGCTGGTTTCTATGGCAGGTGAGCCCAATGAAGAATGGTTTGCCCCTCAGTGGATTTTGGATACCATACCGCGTCGTTCCCCATTTGTCCCACAGATGGGCGATGAGGTAATTCTTATCTTTTGAAACCTTTTCTTTCATAGCCTCCAGAGTTCCTTGAATCACTCTCAGTGTTTGGACATTTGAATTGTTAATTCAGTAATAGCAATATGATATATATACTGTCAGAGCTACTGTGTCCAATTATATGTTTCTTAAGGGTGGTGACTGACTTGCACAGTGTCTTCAATATAACAGGTGCTCAGTGAACATTGAGATACGTTGAATACCTTGTGAAGGTGTAAGAAGAATTGGCTCAATTTTTTTTTAATCTTACTTACCACTTAGGACACTTCAGTAGTATTTTGAGTCCTGATTCAAGTCCTTACATTGTTTAAAAAAATACTCAACCTGATGGAAAATGAACAAAAATATATTTATCCTTTTCAGTGAGTAGGACAATGTCGTTTTGCAAAACAGTGCTTTCTTATTGAGTCTATGATTGAATAAATATGTCTATATTTGTAATTAGTCAAAAATTAATAATTCTACATGATGAGAAACCTTTTATTTTCTTATTGAAATTATGATAACACTGGAACATTGTATTTCTAGTTGGTGTGTATACTCTCATACAGTTACTAGTCCTTAATTTTTGATGGATCAAATGTTTGTTCATAGTTTTTAATTTAGACTAATAGTAGAAGTATACTATTGTCATTACAGTTAAAAAGAGCGAAGTATTGAACAGGTTCTTAAATCTTGGGACCAAGAACTATTGCACCAAACTTTTGTGTAGTTAGCTATTTTTGAGATCTTATACCATTGTAAACTAGTGTGAAGAAGTTATTTATTACTTGCTGTTTATTTTAGATATTAATATATTTCTTTGTAGAAGTGTGTCTTATACATAGGCGACTTTTGAGTGAATTTACAGTTATGACAATAAACATGCTCTGATTAATGCTTTTTTATAAAACTTAGACAATTTAAAATAATTTTTTTAATCCAAATCACAGCTTTTTTTTTGAAGACATAAAAGGAGTAAAGTTGAACTAATTCTAGACTGTACAACACAAGGATCCTGTATACTCTTAAGATCTGGTGAAACTCCTCTCTACTTTTTGTTTTCTCCCAGTATATGTGGTTGAACCTAAGGTTTTTTTACCAAGCTACATCCCTAGCCGTTTTATTAAATTAATTGATTGATTGATTGATTGGACTGGGTTGATTTTTTTTTCTTGAGATAGAGTCTCACTAAGTTGCCCAGGCTGGGTTCAAACTTAGCAATAGTGCCGTCTTAGCCTTCCACAGTTCAAGCATTATAAGCGAGTCCCACCATTCCTGACATCTTCTCTTTACAACCATTTTTCTCACTTCATACTTTGAAAGGATTTCTTTACTTCTTTTTTATTAAATTTAACACATCCTTATGTGCTTCAAGACTGATGTGTCTTAGGTGATGACATTTTTTCAGGTAATGAGGATGATGAATTAGTGAATTAGGCATGTGTTTTAGTTAGCTTTTCTGTTGCTGGGATACAACACTTGACAAGCAGCTTCAAAGAGAAAAGGGTTATTTCGGCCCACAGTTGCAGAGGTTTCAGTCCATGGTCAGCTGGCCACAAAACAGAAATATCATGGCAGAGGGGATTGGCAGAGGAAAGCTGCTCAGCTCATGACAGCCAGGAAGCTGAGAGAGATGGAAAAAGCCCAAGAAGAGATTTAACCCTCAAAGCCATGCTAGTGACATACTTCCTCCTACTCCGCCTCCTTATCACACATTCAAGTGTGAACTCATCAAAATCCGTAGACTAGGTTAGTGCTCCATGATCTAATCACCTTGCAGGAACCTTACTTATGAACGCATAAGCCTTATTAGGGGAATTTGTATACAGTCCATAATAATATATCAATTAGAGAATGTTATTAAAGAACCCATAAGGGAATAAATGCATTTTTCCATTTCTTTTTTGTTTGTTTGTTTTTGTTTTTTTTCTGGTACCGGGAATCGAAATCATGACCTTGCGCTTGCCAGGCAGGCGCTGTGCCACTGAGCTAAATCCCCAGCCCCATAAATATATTTTTTACACAGTCAATTTCTACCTTTGTTTATTTGTTTGTTTTTACTGGTGCATGTTAGGAATTAAAAATGTTGATGTGTCTTTTGGGTAATTGTATGTAACATATCTGGATCATTTTGAATCCTATTATTATCCCTTCTCCCCTTCAACTCCACCCCTTGCTGATTCCCTCCCCTATCTCTGGAACTCTACCTCCTAGTTTCTTGCCATCTCTTCTGTATCCTATCTACCTATCCTTCTGTCTATCTATCTGTCTGTCTATCATTTATCTACTTGGTTTCTCTTTTTTTTGTTTGTTCTTTTTCCGGTACCAGGAATCGAACTCACAACCTTGCGCTTGCCAGGCAGGTGCTGTGCTGCTGAGCTAAATCCCCAGCCCTCTACTTGGTTTCTCATAAGGGAAAACATGCAGTACTTAACTTTCCAAGTCTGGTTTATTTCTCTTAAGCTACCTATATTCCAAAGTTCCAACCATATTCTTGCAAATTTTTGTGATTTTTTTTTTTTTTGTGTGTGTGTGTATGTGTGTATCACATTTTCTTTTATTTGTTCATCTTTTAATGGGCATCTGGACTTTATAAACAGCTTAGTTAGCTCTTGTGGTATGTGCTGCTATAAAACATGGGTATGCATGTATCCCTATGGTATCCTATCTTAAATTCTTTCAGGAATATATACCTAGGACTGGTATACCTCAATGAAGTCATATTTCTTTTTTTCTTTTTCTTTTCTTTTTTTTGTACTGGGAATTGAACTCAGGACCTTGCTCTTGCCAGGCAGGTGCTTATGCCACTGAGCTATATCCCCAGTTATAAATCATATTTCTATATGTAATGTTTTGAGCAATCTCTTTACTGATTTCCATAGTGGTTGTTCTAGTTTACATTCCTAACAATGCTATAGGTAGGTTTCTTTCCACCCCTGAATTTTTGCCAGCATTCATTGTTTTTGTATTTTTGATGACAGCCATTCTGAATGGAGTGAGAATGTCAAAGCAGTTTTTAGTTGCATTTCTGTCATGACTAAAGATTTTGAGCAGTTTTCCATATACGTATTGGTCAATTGTACTTATTTTCTTTTGAAAAATGTCTATTCCGTTCATTTGTCCACTTTTTGATGAGTTTTATTTTGGTTTGATTTGGAGGTTAACTGTTTGAGTTCCGTATATATTATAGATATTAGTCCTCTGTCAGAAGCATAACTAGTAAAGATTTTCTCCCATCCAGTGGGTTGTCTCTTCAATCTGTTAGTTGTCCCCTCTGCTGTGCAGAAGCTTTTTACTTTGTTAAAATCACATTTGTTAATTCTTGATCTGCTTACCTGTGGGATTGGTGTCCTATTTAAGAAGTTTTTCCCCTGGGCCTGTGGCTTCAAGTGCTTCCCCATGTTACCTTCCATCAGTTTAAATGTTTCCGATTCTATATGTAGGTCTTTGATCCATTTTTATTTGAGTTTTACATGAGGTGAAAGATAGAGATCTAATTTCAGTCTTCTGCATATGAATTTTCAGTTTTCCCAGCACTTTTTATTAAAGAGCCTATCTTTTCTCTGGTGTATTTTTTGGTCCCTTTGTCAAAAATCAGATAGTTGTGGGTTCATGGGTTTGCTTCTGTGTTTTCTGCATTATTCCATTTTTGTAAATATCTTTGTTTCTGCCCATACCATGTTATCTTCATTAGTATGGCTTTGTAATAGGACTCGAAAGCTGACATTTTGATGATTCCAGCATTGCTCTTTTTGCTCAGGTTTACTTTTACTATTCTGGATCTTGTCTGATTTCAAATAAATTTAGGGTTTTTTTCTATTTGTCTGTTGCAGTGTTGGTTTTTAAGAGGGAACACATTCAGTGTCTGGATCACTACTGATAATATGGCCATTTTCATATTATTAGTTCTTCTAGTCCATGAATAAGGTGTTTCCATTTTCTAATGTCTTTTTCAATTTATTTCTTCAGCGTTGCTGTACTTTCATTGTAGATGTAGTATATGTTTGTAGTTAGGTCAATTACTAGTTATTTAAATTTTCTTAAGGTATTGTAAATGGATTTTTTCTCCCAATTTTTTATTCAGTATGTTGATTATTGGTGAATAGCAATGGTATTGTTTTGGGTGTGTTGATTTAAACCTGTATAATGGATTTTTCAGTGACAGCACTATGTTTTAATACATCTAAACATGAAGCTCTTATTTTATTTTACCCAGAATACCCCTCCCTACAGATGTTTGCTTCCCAAAATGATGATACTTCAAGGCCTAAATCTTTTGTCTGCTTCTTCTTTTTTTAATTTAAAGAGAATAAAAAAAATAACAATAACAACAACATAGGCAAAAATAGAACAAGACAAAAACAGTAAAAATGATTTAGGGTTTCAAAACAAAATGATAAGAATTAACAGTGATTATTATATTACATATTGTTATCTTCAAGAAAGTTGCTCAGATTACCAGATGTAAGAGCTTCTTCTTGATACTATCACTTTTTTCAACTTGACTTCTTTCACAATAAGCCTCCCGTCTTTTCTCATCTAATGCATAATATATTTTACCTTGCTTTATAATTATATACATATTTAAGTGTCCACATCCTTCAAAGAAAGGATTTTTTATGCCTTACCACTGCACCCAGTGTCTTACACATAGCTCTTTAATATCTGTTGAGTACGTGAGTATATAATAAGGATGTATTATGACACACTTCTTACTGGGTTTTTAACCACTGCAGTCATTTTATTTACTAATATTTAAGCATTTTGCATTTTCTACTTAGATTTTTAGCTATTACATATTCTAATTTAGACAATTTTGATTGGTAGTATATTTTTAAATTTCATAATATTTTTGCATTGCTTCTGTTTACTTATCTCTATTACCACTTTAAACTCTTGACGCAAAGAAATCTTCCTTAATGAATGCAGAACATAGTAGTGTATGCTGTCTTAGACATTTGCAGAGATTTACCAAGTACTTGAACTCATTTTCTGTCCATATTTTGCTATCTGTGACATGATTGTTTTTTTGCATCTATCAACTGTTATAACAAAGCACTTCCTTTATCTTGAAGTAACTCTGGGTAGTAGCCTGTAATCTGTAGTTCATATAAACTGTGTAGACTGAGTTTTAACTGTCAGTACTTAGAATATTAATTATATTGTAAAATAATAATTTTTTTTGAGAGTGTCTTGCTATGTAGTTCAGACTAGCTTTGAACTTACTGTGTAGCCCAGGCTGGCCTCAAACTCATGGTGATTCTCCTGCCTGAGCCTCCTGAGTGCTGGGATTATAGGACTGTGCCACCACCCCCAGCCTTGCAATATAACAAATTAAGATTTAACCGTTTTATTACATTTTGTGTACATGTGTCATGAATCTTTTCCTTTGGATTTGTGAAGCTACTTAGGAGAAAAGGACTATGCATGCAGTGTTTATATGATACAGTTCTTAACATAGGTTGCAAAGACATAAATATCGATGAATATCATTTGGTGCAGAAAAGTACCTTTATTGCACAGAGTACTTTTAAAATTGCAATTATTTGTTTTCTGCAAATAGAAGAGGATATTTGTAGAAAATATATTGGGATGTATAGAATTGTTAAGTGAGATGCTACTGTTTAAATACCTTATGTTTTTTTGTTTTAGCTTATTTATTTTAGGCAAGGACATGAAGCGTATGTGCGGGCTGTAAGGAAGTCAAAAATATACAGTGTTAATTTACAAAAACAGCCATGGAACAAAATGGATCTCAGGGTAAGTTTACCAAATTCATGAGCTATGCAATTACTGTAGCTTTAAGATTATTTTACTCATAAGACATTTATTATTCTCACACATATTATGTATCCAAAATAAAATTTTGTATAATACTCTTAAAGAAGTTGCTCTTATGAGTTAACCTGTGTTACCTGGCATTTGTATTCTTTTTCCTCTTTATCATTTGACTAATTTAACTAAAGCTTTAGATCTTCCAGTTGATACCATTCCATTACTAGAGCAAAGCAAGAGTTCCCTAGTGTGGATTTTTACTTTGTTTGTACAATCTGGAGACTCAACAAAGTGATAGAGTAAGTGGATTTAAAGCTCTCTCAAGGTACCAGGAGCTTTGGGATATAGTAAATATTTTAAATCACAAGAAGCTTATAAACTTTCAGTACTTTTGGAGGATCTCCTGATGTGGCATCCACATAGCTGCATGTCACAGAATAACGCATATATGTCAATTTTACATTGAAGGGTTTTTTGCAATTAAGTAAATATCCCTCCATTCATTCATACTTAATTAAATATGTACTGACATACAGACATAGATGTACGTATACTTTCTTAGGTTTAATATGTCTTTTGTTTTTCTGATTTGGAGTACAAGAGGCTAGAGCAATTTTACCGGGCTTTTCTATCCAAATGAAATGCTACTGTGTGATGATGTTTAGCAGGAAGGATACAAGAAAGAATCTACATATTTATTGAATCAAAAATTTAGTTAAAACATTGGTAGGAAAAATTTAATAATATTATAAAGTGCTAAAATATCTTATCAAAGGAGTTTAATATAATTAGGTATCTCCTGGTAGACAGGGATAATGACCATCCTTTCTTAATTACGTAAAAATCAAGCTCTTTTTCAGAATCAAGGGAAAGAATAATTACACACAATTTGTTATTTTTATTGCTAGCTCTGTGTTTCTAGGAAATTGTGGGAGGTACAATATCCTGGGTCTGCAAGTATCAGTCTTGTGATCTCTTTAAGTGTGACTAATAATTATGTGCAAGGTTGTTGTAACATGATATTGAGGGCATTCCAAAATAATGCATACATCCATATCATATATACTTGTATGCTTATATACTTGTAACATGATATTGAGGGCATTCCAAAATAATGCATACATCCATATCATATATACTTGTATGCTTACATACTGTATTTCTCCTAGGGGAGTAGTTTTAACTACACAAACACGTATAATACATAATTCCTATTTTTTTTTTAAGAATATATGACCTAGCAGTACCCCAGGCCTATAGAATTTGATTTTCCATGATTAGGTTTAGGTATATCAATATTGAAAAGTTTTCCCAGGGCATTCTGCTACTCATCCTTAGTTTAGAATCCTAACCCCTAAAATAACCTACTAATAAATGGTTTAAAACCTATGTCTTAATATGTTTAACACTCAGTGTATTATCTAGCATTTGGTAAATACTCAGATAATTCTTAAATTTTTCAAGTAATAATGAAATATATTAACATTAGGCAGTTATTTGTATTGTTAGTAATAATTTGTTGGTATTTTCATGAATAGGAGCAAGAGTTTGTTAAGATTGTAGGAATCAAATACGAGGTTGGACCACCTACACTATGTTGCTTGAAACTTGCATTTCTGGATCCCATTTCAGGCAAAATGACTGGAGAGTCTTTCTCCATTAAGTGAGTAGCTATTTGTGGTTCTGTATGTGCATGTGTATGTGTGTGTATTTTAATATCCATTGTATATTTTGCAAAGTAAAAGACTCAGGGAAGAAGAGAGAAGACACGACAGCAGAGTTACAGGGTTTAGAGCTATAAAGACAAAAGTTACACTCCTATTTTGTTTCCCCATTTAATAGCTCTGTGTGTGTGTGTGGGTGTGTGTGTGTGTGTGTGGGTATTCACTGGATTGACCCATGAACAAGTTAATCAATATGCTCATACAAAATGAAAATGGAAATGTGTGAATATTTTCTCAGGAATGTTGTGAAGAATCAAAAACAAGCATAAGTTACTAGCATTATTCTTGAAAATGGTCCCTGAAGCAGGTCCCTATCTCAAAAAAGAAAAAGGAAAAAAACTTTATTGTTATGTTTTTATTTTTAAATAGATAAAGTAGTAGGATATACTAGTAGGCAGGTTCTCCTCAATAGATCAGACCAGATGGGATTTATGTGGAGACTTTTCTAGGGACTGTGAGGTTTGAAAAATACTGCTTGATGCATTCCACATTAAACATATACCCTTGGATATTTATTATGTATCAAGTATTGTTATATCTTAACTTGATTTTCATTTATTTGCTTTTCTGTACAGGTATCATGACATGCCAGATGTCATTGATTTTCTTGTGCTACATCAGTTTTATAATGAAGCCAAAGAAAGGAACTGGCAGATTGGTAAATACAGAATTATTACTTAGTAACTGTTCAGCTAGAAGTAAGCAGTGTTTTAACTCTGATTTAACAGAAACTATTTTAACGTTTAACTAGACAAAGATGTCAGCCCAGATACAAAACTTAAAATTTGTTTTTCAGTTACATTGACAAGATTTTATTGAATATGCACCAGTTTCTTTTCATTATGAAGTTTCACTTTCTGCAGGTTCACTTGTTGGTCTTCAGCTGAAGTTATATAAAATGCAAAATTGCAAAAGTAAATAATTTAACAGTTTCAAATTTCATGGTTTTCTAAATGACTTAATGAAACATTGCACCATCCCATTGCATCCTACCACTTATGTGAGTCATCCCTCTGGCCAGTGTACTGATGCTACACTACCTGCCTGTTAGTCACTTAGCTGTGTGGTCTCAACACTCTTGAGTATCACAGTGCTTTTGTTCCGGTAACCCTTATATAGTTGCCTAAAGGCTATGTCACAGTGTCTAAATAATTTACCTCATTTCGTCTCAACATTAGATACTGTGTCATCTTACAGCATCACAAGAATAAGGATGAGTATAGTAAAATAAGATATTTGAAGAGTCCACATTCACTTAACTTTTATTGAGTATATTTTTGTAATTGTTCTGTTTTATTATTGATTATTTTTGCTAGTTTCTTACTGTGTCTAATTTATTAAGTAAACTTTATCATAGCTATATGTGTATAGCAAAAGTCAGTAAATATAGTGGGCTGTCTGTACTCATGGTTTCTGCATCTATGGATTCAAGCAAACATGGATCAGAAATATTTTTAAAATTGCATCTATACTAAGCAGTTTTTTTTTGGTGCCGGTAATATATCTCATTGCCTCATGGTTTTCAGGCAGGGGCTGTGCCGCTGAGCTACATCCCCAGCCCTATACTAAGCACTTAAATTTTTTTTCTCATTGATCCTTAAACAACACAGTATAACAACTTTTTACATGTCATTCATATTTTATTATATATTAGAGTTGATTTAAAGTATATAGAAAGGTGTGCATAGGTTATATGCAACTACTGTGCCATTTTGGATTTAAGCGTCCTTATTTTGTGATATTTGTGGTTCACCAATACCAGTGAACAAGTGTATAAGGTTGTTTCAGGCATCCACCGGGGATTTGGGAGAATATCCTCCACGGATGTTGGGAGACTACTGTAATCTCTGTGCCTTAAGCAAATTCTTATTTTTTTGGTACACAAATCTGAATTGAAAATTCTCAAATTTTGTTTCATCTTTGGAGTACTTTATACTTGGGTCTTTAACATACCATTGAAGATTCTGCCTGCTTGCCTTCCTTTTTTCCTTGTTTCCTCCTTTAACCTTTCCTCTTTTGACCTCTGTCTTTTATTTATCTGTGTCTCTTTTTTATTTTCTCTCTTTCTCTGGTTGGGAAAGGCAATATGATGATAATGTAACCACAGATAGCAAAGACAGTTTTGGAAGGATAGGGCCTCACCTCCTGACACGGAGAACCTTGCTCTCTCGTACTAGCTATTTGACCATGGCAAAGTTTTTACTTCTCAATATTTACTTCTTTTAGCTTAAAAATGGAACTTGCATTAGTATACCTGTAAGGTTTACGTGAACAAGAAGTGAGTTAATATGTAAGAAGCACTTTTATGGTACCTGATACATACAAAATTCTATGTAGATGTTACATATTAGTATTTTTAAATTCTCTGATGTATAAGAGATATTTTTATTCATGGCAGTTTCCATTTGTAATCTTTAGCTATTTAAAGGCAGAACATTAGTACAGATGGAGAGTCTCTAGTCCAAACTCCAAAATCCAAAACACTGAGCAACATGAGGCATTTCATATTTTAGATTTTTGTGTTAGAGATGTTCAACTAGTAACATCTATGTAAATATTCCAAAATCTGGAAACTCCAAATTTGTAAACTTTCTGGTCCCAAACCTTTCTGATACAAAGATACTCGAATTGTGAAAAGATATTTCTTAAAGGAAAAGAAGCTAAGAAAGACACAGAGAGAGAGAGACAGAGAGAGAGAGACAGAGACAGAGAGAAAGACTTTAACATACATTCCATACAGTAAGGAGTATGCTTCATGATAATGCTCAATAATTGGTGGAAGTTAACATGGTAGTGTTTATTTAAGAAGACATGGAGATACATGTTGTATTTTGAGAAGATTTCTATTACTTGGAAATAAAAATATTTGAAGAGGGTAAAATGTAAAGTTTACTTATCTCGAAAACTCAGATGAAATATCCAATAAAGCTAGATAAAGTGTTATTTTTTGTATTTGAAGACTGTAGAGAGGAAACAGAGCGGACATTCTCAAGAGCACTCTTTTAAGAATTTTTAACATTATAGGTGATAGATTCCGCAGTATAATAGACGATGCCTGGTGGTTTGGAACGGTGGAGAGTCAGCAGCCTTTTCAACCAGAATACCCTGATAGTTCTTTCCAGTGTTACAGCGTTCAGTAAGTACAGTAATGGTCTTTTATGCTTTATGGATTACTTTAGTATTATATGGCCTTTGGGTAAACCCTACCAAGAATAATGATGTTTATCTGAGTTACTAGTCTTACAATACATGTGCCCAGAAGGAAGTAATCATAGTATCTGTTGGAATAATATAATAGTAAGAAGGAACAATGCATTTCTACCCCCTTATTACCTACATTTTCTGTTAAGGATTTCTGTTTTAGATAATAATTAAAAATATTTTTAAATGGAAGATTAAAGCAATTTTTTAAAGCTGGAATATAGCAATTAATATTAGTACCTAGTCTTTTATTGAATGAAATGGATTCGAGGCAGAATGACTACATTTTGAGGTGCTATTTTTATTATACTTACTTTAATTCTTCTTGAAATCCCAGAGTTGTAAAACTCCTTACAAATGAAACTTCTTTAAAATGAAAGGAAAAAAATGTTTATTTGTGAAGATTGACTTTTAAAGTCTGCATGTTGCAGATTGAAAATAATAGTAACATTTTAGAAATTCTTTCATACTTAAGCTGTCAGGCTAAATGTAGATTAAGAGTTAATAAATTAAGTAAACTCTTTTCACCTGAAAGATGCTTCCCAAAATATCTTGTTCTTTCCCTAGCTCAATATTGAATATATGCTTGTTTGGAACACCCCTCCAAAAAAAAAAACAAACTAGTAAGATTAGACTTACTGCTCTATAAGTTTCATATTGGTAGTCCATATTTTCTCTGTAAGTAGTTTTATGTTATTTTTACATAAGCAAAGTTGTACTTTATTGAATATTATGTTGCCACTCTCCAAATTTCACTCTGAGGAAGTCATAGAAATTATGCTAGTGTCTGAAACAAATGCTTGTGAGTTTGATTTTCATCTTGTTTTTTAATAGCTGGGACAATAACGAGAGAGAAAAGATGAGCCCCTGGGATATGGAGCCAATTCCGGAAGGAAGTAAATATGCTTTAAAAATGAATTATACTTCTTTTACAAGTAAAATAATATAATGTTGCAAACTAATTATTTCTAAATTTTTATCTTATACCTAGCCGCCTTTCCAGATGAAGTTGGTGCAGGTGTCCCTGTGTCTCAGGAGGAACTGACTGCTTTGTTGTATAAACCGCAGGAAGGAGAGTGGGGCGCTCATTCCAGAGATGAGGAATGTGAACGAGTTATTCAGGGCATCAACCACCTTCTTTCCTTAGGTACGATCAGTGTGAAAAAATACTAGGAGGAGAGATGGGAGCCAGTAAAAACAAGGATAATTTTGAGGTTCTGCAACGGGAAATGCAGTTTATCACTATATACTTCATTTTCCATTTGAGAGGCATATTGTTTCCAGTTTTAATATTGAGATTATTCCATGGCTTGGCAAAGTAATGACTGATGAGCTGTCCATACTCGGAGTGGTGAGTTTGGGCTAAAGTGAAGGAAGGCCTGCGAGTATCTTTTTAGTTTTTGAGTCATTTTGACTCCCTACCTATTTGCTGAGCCTGACCCTGACTTTGGATGGGTTCCTTGGTAAAGGCACCCCCACGAATGGTTACAATTTTCTAAAATATATCACTTGAGAAATTTGGAAGTTATTTGGGGAGCACATAGAATTCTGAAGATAAACACACCGTTCTTGTATTTTTTGCATTTTACCTGGTTTGAACCAGTGTATCATCAATGATACGTAGATATTATGTTCTAATAAAAAGAATAACCTTATATTTGCATAAGTGTATCATTCTTTTAGAAGTGTAGAATGTAAATCCTCCCTTCTTATTTCCATAGGAATATTCATTAACATAAAGTGTTATTGTCTTCTTTAACTACTTTTTGGATCTTGGTAATTTTGTAGATTTTGCCAGCCCTTTTGCTGTTCCAGTGGATCTCAGTGCCTACCCCTTGTACTGTACTGTAGTTGCTTATCCAACTGACCTCAACACTATCAGGCGGAGACTTGAAAATCGTTTTTACAGGTTTGTTTAATTTTATTACTTATTATAAAATTCATAGCTGTATGATTCTTGCTTTTTTGAGATTTTGATTTTTATAAGATAAAATAATCATCTACACTCATTGATTTCAAGATACTAAATTTCTTTATTCAGTAAATTCTCTTTCAGGATTAAAAATGGGTAGTATAGGCAAGATATCATGCTCGTATCTTCTACTTTGAATAACTACTACGAAGACAACAATATGCAGTGTATCAACTATTGTAACTGTCTTACTAACGTGTTTTGAAACTCGGTTTCTTTGTTATGTTTACTTTTTTTTCTCTCTAAAATAAAAAAGAGGGAGGATAGAAGAAAGAGTAAAATATAGGTAGCACAAATTGTGTATAATATGAAAGGTACAATTAGCTTTCTTTTATTAAAGATAAAGTAAGTGGTTTGTGGATTCTTGATTAAGATGCTACAGAGGCATGGAGCATATTGAAATCCTCTTTGAGAAGTTAGGTAGCAGTTAATTAAATTTAATTGCCAGCCCTGAAATATATATAGCACCAATTTAGTTTTTTCATGATTTTGGTTGACAGAGGGATATAGGAGGGCTTTGCGGGCCAGTTCTCGGTCTCTCTCTCATCCAGCTCTACTTCACCAGAATCATAGTCTGTCATGAACTGATTAGTCTCCTTCTTATAAATGAGAGTTGAATGTATTTTCATAACATACGTTATTCAATTTAGTAATGTATATTGTAACTAGGTAAAAAATACTTTCATTTTCTACAAGGTATTTTTTTCCACTCTTCATGACTTCCCCTGAAAACTAAACATTATTTTAACTTTATCAAATATTTTTGCATTGTTTTTATCAAATTACTCTACCTACAATGTCCTTAGCCATTCCTATTTCAAGTTTTATTAACAAAATGCTTCCCCGTGTTTAAAATCCAGAAACTAAACCATGCCTTTTTGCACATAAGAGTCACACATATATATGAAATCATATTCATATAGTGGAACACCTTTAACATATCATGGTTAAGTGCCTAGCGATTATATATTGTTTGTTTCTACAATGTAAATTAAATGTGTCAACTAACCCTAACAAAATATTTTTCTCTATAGGAGAATATCAGCATTAATGTGGGAGGTACGCTACATTGAGCATAATGCTAGGACTTTCAATGAGCCAGACAGTCCTATAGTTAAAGCAGCCAAAATTGTAACTGATGTCTTACTTCGATTTATTGGGTAAGAAACAGTTTTATGTTTCAGTGAGTCTAATTTGGGATTCTTAAAAAGATATTTAAATGTATTTTGACTTTGTTTTTTAGGGATCAAAGTTGTACTGATATACTGGATACTTACAATAAAATTAAAGCAGAAGAATTAAACAGTAGTGATGCAGAAGAGGTAAGAATCACAGCACGATGAATGAGAATGCATTTCTTGTTTATTTGAAATGCAGTAGGTGCTCCATGTAAATGTTTCAATTGATTATGAGCAATGAAAGATTGTAGGATGCTGGCTGAACATTTGTATCTTCTTAAATTAAATTCTTTGATCTCTACTCAGACAGAAGATGCCCAAAATATAATAGTACTACAGGGTTTAGTTAGAGAAAGGTGGGCAGTCATCCTGTGTGACTTAGTGGCTTTCAGTGATAAGAAATGAATACTTTATTTTCTAGCCCTTAAAAAATAAGACAAAGCACTCAATATTTTCAAAGAAGGTTTACCACTCAGTATTATAAGACACAGTAACATCAGAAGGGACTTTATTTTCTGTACATTTTAAAATATTAAATACATTCTAAAATTATAGATTTGAACATCTGACTATGAAGTTTCATGGAGTTTCTACCTGATTTCTTTATGGAAAGTTACAAATATAAGCCAGTATTTTCTGAATGAAAATGAAATTAGTATTCTCAATAAACATTTACATACCTAATTTCAGTACCCATCCATGTCTCTAATTTGCATATAGCCTTATTTGACAAGATGTTTTGATAGAAACCAAAACCAAGATAAGCTGGAGTGGTAATGAGAAATGATAATCAAACATCTTTACTGGAAAACAGTTCATGCCAGGGATAATGACTCAAAGGTGCTAGATCCTGTAGCAGTTGTATGAGATATTTTCATATTTATTTTGCCTGTATTGTTGATGTGTAGTATGGTAAATCTTGAATGTTGTTTTCTATCTTTTCTAAAAGCACATCTGGTTATAAAGCATTGTTTTATTGGAGCTAAATACTACTTATATAACTTTAATAAGGAAAATATATACCAATTAGATATTAGCCCTTTGAAACCCAAGAAAAACTTATTCACATTCCTTATATTTTCTCTGACCTTTACTATGAATGTATTTAACTCAGAATTTAATATAATAAGACAATTTCTTCTTAGGCAGCACTAGTTGTATTAGAATAGAAAATTAAAGTAAAATACAACTCAACACATTGGTATTTCATAGTTTAGTGTACTAAGTAAGCATGTCAGTATAATGTTTCTGTGAAAATATTAGGAATTAGATATAAACCTAAGCAGATGCGAATCACTACACCTTTCCCCTCATTTCCTATTCTAATTTGAAGCAAAACTTTGTGTAGTTCTTTTTTCCTAGTATATTTTCTAATTTGTACATAGCATATTGGCAGAGGTCTTTGTTCTACTGTTAGCTCCAATGAAGGAAAGTTACTCATGATTATGTTTGCTATTGACTTGTAAAATGTTTGTCTAATTCATAAGACTTTGAATATGACTTAACACCTTCTTCCACTCTTCTCTTTTAACTTAGGATATAGAAATTATTGACTTAGATTCAGATGGTCCTGGTACTTCATCTGGGAGAAGGGTAAGTAGATAAGTGGACTCCTGAGAAGAAACCTTCTCAATCTTCCTTCATTAGGGATCTTAATGACCAGACTCTGCATGTGGAAATGTACTTGTACTCTATTCTATGGCTGAGTACAACTGTAGTTGTACTGATGGCTAAGATTTATTACGGCAAGGCAGTAAGGATATACAGTTTGGTCATGGGGGAAAGACTCAAGCATAATATGGAGGAATGCATGTTCAGGTGTTCTTGTGCCTCCTCTCTCTTATAAGGGTGCCATACAGTATACTGTCACATCAGCAATGAAAATGGAGCAACATATGTGTGATTGGAGATTCAGTACCTAAGCATTTTGTTGGGGACTGGTTATCTAGGTACTCTCTGCCTAGCGTATACCAAGATTCCAGATTTCTATTAAGAAAGCAGATATTTAGCCTAAATGATATTGCTTATACTATCTGGATACAGTAAATGATTTGTATAATTCAGTTCTAGTACCAAGTTTCTGAATGCCAACCATGGACCAACCTTTTAAGTGAAAACCCTGCTGAAGATAACTGCCTGTTGTGTTAAATCTTTTCTGTACATTTCGTTTCTATCAAAATTAGACTTAGAATTGTTCTCTAGAAGGTAAAACTATCTTTTGAAGTCCTTACTGAAAGAGACCATAACAAAACACTTGAAATGGTAAAAACTAGAATTTATCATGACCACAAAATATTCACTAAAAATTTGTTTGAGTGTTGTTTTGAGAAAATTATGGCACCCTTGTCAAGTGAATATATTGCTTGTAGCTGTTAAGGGAGTATATCTGTTAACCTTATAGATGAGAAAGCATTTGGCTCTTTGTACTTTATGTGTTCGGATTTTCTTATGATGAAAATCTAGGATGCTAGAATTCTTGCCATCTTCATGAACACAACGTCCATTTATTTTTGTTCGTTTGATTTTTGCCAAGATTCATGGTGTTTAATTTCAACTAAAAGTTTTAAATTGCAGCATTGCTATCTCAACACAAATAATTTAACACTAGGTATGCATGAGAAAGTCCAAGAAGAGTTAAAGAAAGTCCTTGTACATATAATTCTATTAAAATCTATAGGTCAAATGTCGAGGCAGAAGGCAATCTTTAAGGTGCAATCCTGATGCTTGGAAAAAACGGTGCAAAGAACTATTGAGCCTCATTTATGAACGGGAAGATTCAGAGCCATTTCGACAACCGGCAGACCCCCTTTCTTACCCAGTAAGCATACAGTTGTTTAAATAATCACCAACATAACTTCCCATAAGTGTCCATGCTAACATGTAGTGTTCCTTCCTTGGGTATCTTTGAATTGTGAGAGTGAGTTGTATGATTAGTTATGACCTTTTAAAGTGTTCGTCATATACTTACTATGTAAATTATACAGTTGTAAACTAAATTGAATCAAAATTTCTTTGCTACTCTTTCCTGCTTTTACTTGAGATATTTAATGCATGTAATTTCTAATAGACTTTTATACATTTAAAATTGGTGATATATATCAGTATGAGTGAAATTGATCCTAAATATGTTATTACTTTTGTAACACAGAGTGACCAACATACCAGTACCACTTTTCAAAAAAGATAAAAGCATGAGAACTTAGAATATAGAATCCCTTTTCTAGGAAATGGAATTACTGTATATGTTGAATTACTTTTTAGATATCAAATCTGTTCTTTTTCAGAGAAAAGGAACAGCAATGTTTCAGAAATACATGAGACCATCTTTTCAACTTAGTACACATCAGTATGTTTCTCTGTATTCACAGATTTTAGTTTGGAAATAATATTTACCTAAGCAATATTATATTTAATAGTTTGTTTTGCTTGTAGGAAATTTGGGTAGAATAAATTAGTCTAGTGTTTTTCATAGTAGAGAAGAATTGTGAATACTAATCTCATTCACCTTAAAGTACAACCAACTAAATATAATTTCTATGTGTGAACCTTTGACCCCTAAACCAGAGTTACCTTGCAAGTTATGATGTTTTGTTATAGCAGTCTGCAAATACAGTACATGCTCTTTACTCTCACAGGCCCATCAAGAACAAGAGGGAGAATCCTCAGAGTTCAGTGTTCCAGAAAGACAACATGATCCATCTCTTTCTGAGGTAGCCCACAATCCTCCCTTAAAAGACATCCTGTTTTTTTTTTTTATTTTACTCTTAAAGTGTCCATGTTTGCACACAAACCTTTCACAATTTGTTAAAACTGCCTTCTAACTCGGTTTACTTTATTTTTAATCGTTCTTTTTTTTTGGTTCTTATTTTTTTAATCAACATGCTCTCAAGATTCCTCTCTAACATCCATTTAGAGGTTTATATAAATCTGAAGCTACTACGGTTGCAAAGCAGAAAACAGCAGTTATGTGATAGGTTTGTGTCTGTATTGCAGCTGTTTCTTCCGACTGGGTCTTCATATAGCATGTAGGTTAAATCTTTTTTTAGTTTTGGTAATATTACACGAATTCCAGGATTTCTCCTTTATGAAAATATTAGTGCTTCATAAGCCATAATATGTTGGAATACACTTGTTTTTTTATGATTTAAGAAAATAGAACATTTAGGGCAATTTTGCTTTTTTTTATATAAGGGATTGTTCAGGCAGAATTAAGTAACTGCACTCCACAGATTAGATTCATCGATTAGATACATTAGATACATACTGTGAAAATATTTTTCTTCTTTTTATAATACCTTTTTATCTGGTGTTCTGGCTCTTTGGCTTTCTTCTTTGAGGGAAACGTTACTTCTTAATGATTCTAAGAAGGATGAGGAATCTAATGTTAATTATGGTTTTCATTCCAAAAATTATATATTGAGGATTATAACATATATAGGTATAAATTCCAGATACTATTTAATATATTAGCCCTAGGAAAATCTTAACTAAACTTGAAAGAAGTAAGGTAAAATGGAGTCTTGCCTCTCCCCTAATAAATATCACACAAAATTCTGGACCTATGAGACAGAAGATTGTAGATGAAACAGAACTGTCACATTGATTAAAATTCAAAGGGGAAGAAGACACAAACATGATCAAATTGACTTCAAATCTCAACTAATGACATTTTAAATAGAGTGTTCTGGTACCTAGAAGTCTTGGAAATAATGTATCTAATCTGTAGAGTACAGTTACTTAATTCTGCCTGAACAATCCCTTATATGCTGTAGAAATGAAGGCAAAGAACCAGGTGTGGTGGCACATGCCTGTAATTCCAGCACTCAGGAGCCTGAGGCAGGAGGATCCACAAGTTAGCAACCAGCCTGAACTACATAAGGAGACCCCGCCATAAAAAAAAAAAAAAAAAAAAAAAAAAAAAAAAAAAAAAAAAAAAAAAAAAAAAAAGCTACACAACAAAAAGAAAATAAAAAAGGAAATGAACCCAATGACTATGGATTTTCTACTGTCTCTTCTGAGTTACATATGTTTATTGACTACAGTATAAACGCTAAGCCTGTCCCACAGGTCCTACTCTTTTCAGAAACTACCAAGAGCTGATTTGGGGCGGAAGAAGGTAGTTGTCAGATTGAAAATCAGTATATTTATTTCATATCAGTAGGACATGCAAATCTCAGCTCCATCATATTATTTAGTATTTTTTGCAGTTTAAGTATTAATATTTAACACATTTTTCTTTCTAGGATCATCAAGGTGTTACAGAAACACCTATGGACTTCAGCACTGTGAAAGAAATTTTGGAAGCAGGGAATTATGTTAGTCCTCTGGAATTTTGTAAGGATGTTCGCCAAATATTCAGCAACTCCAAAGCTTATACCTCTAATAAGAAATCAAGGGTATGCAAAACAATGTTAAGTGGTTTAATTATCTAAGTGTATAATTATGTATCAGGCAATTTTCTTTGAACAGTTTTAAAATTACTAAGCAAATATATACTACAGATCGAACATTGTTACTGATGTTTGGTTCTCTATATCTTCTCTGCTATGTGGATTATTAGGCATGCATGAAAATGCATTTCACATAATCCTTCTGAAATTAACCAGCTTTTCCTTCTCTTATCTGCCTCTTCTTTACTTTGTAGTAATACTTATATCTGCCAGAGAGAAGACAGCAAAAGAAGGGGGAATAATTTGACTACCCTTTAATATGGCCAATAAATGTAGTTGATAGTATTAATTTATATAAAATATTTTGATTAGCTCTGAATATTTAGTTTCAATTTATTATAAGAAACAGTGAACCATATTGGAAATCATAGTTGTTTATTTACCCTCACATGTAATATTTTCCATACGTTTTGTCAAAATATGTTGAGAACAAAAAGCAGTAATAATAATTTCTATCTTTTGAAATCACTGATATCTAACTTAAGTCAGTTGCTGAGTAGGTATATATCTGTCTATTTGAACTTCATATAAAGTGAATTATCACTCATTTTTGCAGGCATAATTGTTCCACATTTGCTTTTCCTCCTTGATCATGATTGTTAGAATGACATATTTTCTGTAGAAAGTTTGAAAATAGAAGTATAAAGAAAAAAACAGAAATCACCTGTAAAGCCCATCATTTTAATTACAGTTCATATTTTATGTTTATTCTTCCAGAATTTTCTATAGTCCCTATACACTTGCATATGTCTATACCTTGTTTGTGGTAGCAGTTTGCATATTGTAAGGCCTTTTTTGTTACGACTCTTTGAAAAATTACCTTTGATCATATCCAATAGGTGGTTATTTTATGTTATTTAACCAATGACTTGATGGTAGAGATTTAGGTTTTTTCCAATTTTTCACTTTATGTGAATAGTGGCTACAGTCCAGGCATCTTCTACTTATATTTTATATGAAGTAACTGATAAAAAAGACTATAATTTCAATTTTTTCAGCTCTACAGCATGACACTGCGATTATCTGCCTTATTTGAAAATCATATTAAAAATATCATTTCTGAGTATAAGTCAGCAATCCAGAATCAGAAGAGGAGAAGGACACGGTACAGAAAACGTCTAAGAAGCAGCAGCAGTTCGTTATCTAGTAGCAGAGCTCCTAGGTATATTACACTTACTCAGTTTTTTTGTTTTGAAATCATTTTCTGTGTATTACTTCATTTTTCAAAGATTACAAATAGTTTAAGAAAATTTCAAGAAATCTTCTTCCCCCTAAGAATTATTGTCCCTGTCTAAAAAGAGTTAGTAACCAAAAACACTATTTATGTGACTTTTACCACCGTGAAATCTTTTTTGAATTTATTGATTTGAAGTTTTATCTTTGTCAAAGTATCAACTTAAAGCATTTTACTTGAATGTAAAGCATTACACAAAAATTTCCAGTTTGGTCAGGTTGAGTATTCTGTATCATACTGTCTATTGTAATGTGTTACTAACAGAAAAATATGCTCATCATGATATATTTTTACTTACAGTCCAAAAGGGAAACAGAAACAAATGAAGTTGCAGCCTAAAAATGACCAGAATACCTCAGTGTCTTATGCTAGGACTAGTTCTCCTTTCTCGTCTCCTGGTAAATATATCTTTTTGTTGTTGTTATCTCAGTTTCTTATCGATAGTAAGGCTGCAGAAAGGTAGTATGGTTTCTATCACAAAGAGCATAGATCTAGATTTAGAAAGACTTGTATTTTATTCCCAGTTCTGTTTGCTATTTGTTTGTCCCTGAATAAGACATTATGCCATGTGATTTTGTTTCTTTGTTAGAGTAGATAAATTTTAGTTTTTTAGTTTGAAAATTCCATATGTGAGTTTTTTTTTTTAACGGCTATAATATCTCAGAGCCCTCATCTAGATTATATTTGCCAACATAAGACTTGTAAGATCCTCTTGGAGCATCTTGTTTAAAGTAAAATAACCAAGATGTAGTTTCAAAAGCATCTTGTTTAACTTTGCTAGTAATGCAAAATTATTTTAACATTACAACCTTCTAAACTGCAAGTTTCAGATGCTGCTGAAGGAATTTCACAGTATCTCCTTGATGATGAAGTGGATGGGCCATTTTCTTCACCAAGCTTCAGTGGATATAGCCAAAGTGGAAATACCCATGACCCAGGGAAAGCCAAATCATTTCGGAATAGAGTTTCACCAGTTAAACAAGGTAGGAAACAAATGTAGAATGGGCTATTTATTCTTTATTACGATGGAAGAGGAGTAAAAGGTGGTGTAATATTATATTTCTAAAAACTCGTATATCTTCGTAATTAATGAGAATTCTAATATTGTCAAATATGAGTTAGATAAGTAAGAACAGGCCATTAGCAGATTTCTAGTACTTTGAACCATATTTTAATATTTTAAATAAAATGTAAAATGAAATGAATAGGAAGAAAAAACTGAATGAGAAATTCTTTCCCCAATTACAGAAGAACCAGACTGGTAGACAATTTTAGGATTTTTTCATATGTCAAACCATATTAATGAGAAAGGAAGATTTCCAAAGTTACCCTTAAAGAGTTTTCAAATTTTTTCTGGGGTACTCCATTTGAAAATGGGCCTAGGTTGAGAAATGATTCTTCATTTAGTCACCACTCACTTCTGCTCCCTTCTAAGGTTTTTCAGTTAATAGTTCAGATATTCTTTCCCGTGGATGCCTGCAGTATCACAAAGTCATTTGTTTTCAGACTGGGACCTGCATGTTTCCAGGGGTTCTACACAGATACTTTAGGAATTCTGAGATGAGCCAAACTCATTTAACCGGAATAGCCATTTTTAATTTCATATATTGAGCTTCCATATAACATGTTATTTAACGAAAAATTTTTAGTGCTTAAAAAGAAATCACCGTCATAATTCATTATTGTGAGCATCTGTCTTGGACCATATCAAGGGTGTCAGTTGTCAAAAATATTTGAAAGTGACAGTACTAAATCAAAGTTTTTTCTTATACTTAGTCCTATGTTATGGATTCAGAGCATGTACAAAGAAAGTTCTAGTAAGTTCAACTATTTGAAATTTGTAAAATTATTCACTCAGATTTATAAATATTTTATTAGAATCTAGATTTAATTTTGCATATATTTTTAGTGAAAGAATCATTACTTTATCCATTGTTATATAAACATAAAATAAAAATTCTTTTCCAAGATTTATTTTATATTGGTTATATAAGAAATAATGAACCATCTTATTACTTTAAAATAATCTGTCTTTTTATTTTTCCAGTTTGTATCTTTTCTCTCTCCTTTGATCCTGCTGTACATTGCATACTTCTGCCACTGCCTTCTCTTACCTTGCCCTCTCCTTCACTTACAAACTTTTGGAAAGTGTAGCGTATATTTCATGCTTCTACTAATTTTCAGTCCATACATTCCTTTAGCCTTTGTGGTCTAGCTATTGCCCAAACCACTCTCCAAACATTATTCTCCATAATATTACCAGTACTCTTTAGTGTCCAACCAGTGTCCTTATCTTAGTCCTTACTTTTTTATCTCTTGCACAATGTTGTCTTCCTCCTCCATGAATCCCTACTTCCTGACTTTTATACACTTTTGATATTCATGGAACTGTTTCTTTTATATCTGTTTGTTTTCTTTGGTCCAACTTGCTTTCTCCTTGCAGTTTCCCACTGCTTTAGTTGTTTTTGCCTTTTACAAGTAAAGCAGTTTATTCTGATGACTATGTCAGCCACGTTGATACTAATAACTCTACAAATACATTTGCCAGACCAAACATCTCTTTATTCTATCAGTCTCATTTTCAGCTGCTTCTTTAAAATTTTCCCTAGCTCCACAAAAACTAAACCAAATAAACAAACCCTACATCTGCGGAAAGGTTTTCCCACCTAAAATATTCCCCACCACACACTCTCACTTTTTTTTACCCTGTTTATAGCAGGCATCACTACTCAAAATGACATTATTTACTTATTTATTCATTTCATCATCTCTCTAGCTTTCCCCACTAAAATATCAATTGCAGAAGCAAGGACTTTGTCTTACATTATTTACTGACATATTCCTAGCTCTTCGTAATACTTGGCGCATGGTAGCTAATCTGTAAATATTTGTTGAGTAAATAAGTAAAACTATGACGATTCATGTTCCCATGTAATTCTTGCTAAAGTTCAGTCCTTGGGATTGAAGGGAAGGTAGAGGAATGAGAAAAAAAAAAGAACCAAGATATATCATGGCAGGTACAAATTCCCTATGATGAATGTGATCATTATGTATACCTAAAATGTACCAATGAATTTAACTTTAAATAAACAGTAAAAACATCAGAACTTTAGTATGTTCCATTTTTAAACAAAATTTTTTTTACCTAAAACATCTTCCATGATTATGGCTTATCTCTCTTTAGGCAGTAAATATTTTTGATAGACTGTTTATTTTACTTTTGAACTTAATGACCATCTTATCAAAGTCATAGCTTAACTTAAAACTGATTCATTTCAATTTAGATCACACGCTTGATGGACCTATTATAAATGGTGATGGCAGAGAGCCCCGGACAGGAATCAAGAGAAAACTGCTCAGTGTATCAGAAGAAGATGAAAGCATCGGAGAAGAGAAAGAGAAAAAAGAAACTAAAGAGAAATCACACTTATCCTCTTCAGAGAGTGGAGGGTTAGGATCCAGTTTAAGTTCAGAAAGTGCTTGTGGCTCTGATTCTGACTCTGAATCAACTTCGAGAACAGATCAAGATTATGTAGATGGAGATCATGACTATAGCAAATTCATACAAACGAGACCGAAAAGAAAACTCAGAAAACATGCCAGTGGAAAAAGAAACTGGAAGATGAGAGGCACTGGAGGAAGAGGCAGATGGGGAAGATGGGGCAGATGGAGTAGAGGAGGCAGAGGAAGAGGAGGCAGGGGACGAGGGGGTCGAGGAAGAGGTGGAGGTGCCACTAGAGGAAGAGGAAGAGGGAGAGGAGGAAGAGGTGCCTCTAGAGGAGCCACCAGAGCCAAACGAGCACGTATTACCGATGATGAATTTGATACCATGTTTTCAGGACGTTTCAGTAGACTGCCTCGAATTAAGACAAGAAACCAAGGCAGGAGGACTGTTTTATATAATGATGATTCTGATAATGACAATTTTGTGTCCACTGAGGATCCTCTGAATCTTGGTACATCCAGATCAGGCAGAGTGCGTAAAATGACCGAAAAAGCCAGGGTTAGCCATCTCATGGGATGGAATTATTAACAGTTAACGAATTTAATGAATTTAGAATAATTTAAAAATTCAATGGCCTTCTACTGCAGGGAATTAACCAGGAAATCTACAAAGCAAGTTGTGTGGGGACTTCCGCTTCCTTTCACATTGGTGCTTTTCCATTATGCCAGTATATATTTGTTTCAAGACTTTGATCTCCACACTTCATTTGTTCAAATAAGCCTTACTCATTAGGCCTTAAATTAAAAGAAATTCTGCCCATACACGTGCGTGCATGCACGCATATACACACACGCAACAAAGACGCACTACAGATTTACTACATGGAAGGAGCATTCTGCTTCTTAAGAGTAGCATGACATTTTTATCTCAATGGAATATCCTTCTTTTGCTTTTGTATCACAGAAGTATAGCACCTTCTTACAGAGTTTTATATAGTTTGTTTTTGCCATTTTGATTCCTATGCCCAGTAATAATAACTTTTGCACAATACACCAATCCTAAAGGCAGCTATTAAATGTTTACAGTTTCTATATTGTGAGAACGATCTGGATTATTTTACTCTTCCCAGGCCAAACTTTCGTGAATTGTACTGAACTGAAGTATATATTTATACTACAGTTTTTTTGGGGGGGTGGGGGGTCTTGATATGCTTTTCATTGGTTTGCTTAATTCACGTTAAAGGTGAGAAAGGGTTGGTGCCTTGTAAATATGTAGCAAATCTTTGTGGTGTGTCCTGAAGTGTGCATTAACTTTATTAAAAGGGAATACTTGAGATATCAATCTAGACAAGGTGCCAAATGCAAAAGTTTCTTGCATCCATTTTCTTTCCTATTATGTTTTATTGCATTAATAGAACTTGTGAGCTTAAAGAATGACTTAAACATTTGAAAACTCCTCATCCACCAAGGATAACTTCTTTAAATAGTAGCTCAGCTACCTCTATTAACTACAACTACTGGAAACTTTTAAGGAAAATAGACGCTGTTACTCATTACTAAGGAGAAATAGAACAAGCTTGGGTGGGAAAGAATAGTCCTAAATTATAAGCTGAGAGGTTGTGAATAATCATATTGACTTTCAAATTAATAGTTTAACAAACTTTCCTAAGTATTATATGGTCTACCTTAGGCTTTCATAAAAGATATTTATATAAGTAGACTTGGCCTACTGCTTATATATTTCTGCTACCACTTACTGTTTAATAGCCGTGAGTTACATGCAGGTTTTCCTTTGAATCTTAAAGTGTAACAGACCATTTACTTAGAGTTGGAATGTTTCTGATAGCTAATATTTTGAATCAACTTTAATAGATTTTGCTCTTATCATTCCAAAGGGTTCTTGTAGTCTTTCAGGAAAGAACCTCATTGCACTGCACACTGATACTTTGAATCATTATGTTATAGGTGAGAAAAATCTGTTAAACCCTTATGATCTTGTTTACAGCAGTAGAGTGCACATGGTTCCATAAGTGAGCTTGAGTTCCAAGATCAATTTTACTCCTCAAATTTGAGATTACAGATTTGCTAATTTGTTAGATACTTAAATTTTTCTTGTACGAGGGTTAATATTGATCTTTTTTTTTTTTTTGTAACAGCAGATTTGCTGCACTTAGATCAAACTTATGTGATATACAGACTTCTTAATGTATACCAAGTTATCCCAGGATATTTGTTAAGTTAATGTGTTTGTCTCATACTTCCAGTCATTTTATGCATCTGAAAATCCTGAAGTGCAGAGGAAGGAGTACACACATAACTTTGCTTTTTTAGTAGGGTTTGGGGTTGAGGTTATTCTCGGACTAACATCTTTAAGCAGTTTTTACTTGCAGTAGAAATGATGTTCAGGCTTTACGAAAGTATTGTTGAGAATTGTTAATGGCACTAACTTCTGTTACTAGAGAGTAGACCAAGATATATTTTCGTTGTGCTCTTTTTTTCATTAAACCAAAACTACTTCTGGTTATAACTCAACTGCCATTTTTAACCATAGTATAGATTCAAATTATTCCTATTTGAAACTCTATATTAGATTTTTGCTAAAGTGTACCATCTTACTTATTCATCTCTTGGGCATTTAGATTAAATGTTACCTGTTTTCCTCAAATGCGTAACACTTTGGCATACCCTAATCAAAGTGACATAGTTGCTTAAATTCTTGGATATATCTATATGTGTATCATGTGTATCATTTTAGTGTGACATTTTTTGATGACATTCTTCTATGAAGAGCTGACTTCTTAAAATGTAGAAGAATTGCCATTGGTGTGGTTTTTAGCTACCTGGAGCTTTATTTATAATTTATTTTGAAAAATTAAAATGTCACATTTATTCCCAAAATGTCAATATTTTCTAGGTTTAGGTAATTAGAATAATAAGTCTGAAGACATTTTTAAGTATATTTTATACGTAGTGAAATACTGTGAAGATACTAGTGAACAGCATTTTGCTGTAATGTTGATTTCAGTTATTAGAATTTTAAACAGTTAGTCACCAGGGTATGGTTGCTAAGCATAGTTTTCATTATACAACAGATCATTTTCTGTTAGCATGCAAGTTATTTTGATAAGAGTGAATATAAAAGTTTGAGAAATAGTATTTTTACTTTTTTATCTGGACTCCCCATTTTTACTTTGCTTTTTTTGTAACACCGTTTCCTGTGAATTTTTCATGATTTGTATCACATTGAATATTTTATCATTTTAATTTTCTAGAGGCCCTTTGAAACCTAAATAACATCTGGGTACAGCCATAGCAAAGCAGTAGGAAATGAATTAAGAATTCTGCTAAGAAAAACCACTGTAATATTTAGGTCCATGAGAGCATACACATGTATAAGTCTAATCATATGCTAGATATGAATAGTGAGTAAGCTGTAGTAATTCTTATGAATGCTAATAATGTTTAAATTCCCATCTTTAAGATCTTAGCATGTGTATATATTTATAAAACCTGAATCGTATGTTTTCTTCTATGGCTTGCTATGTATCATCCAGCAATAGGATGCTCTCCAAAACATTCACTAACCTACTAACCTAATGACTAAATTTGTTTTTGTATGTGTGTGTGCACTTGTATGTATGTAGTATTTTTTTCAAACTTGACATACCTTATTTCAGACATTAAAAAAGAGAGAGTATTTTATATGGAGGATACTGTCTACCAATTCTTTGTCTCTGTACAGCTCTTAGCCTATGCATTTACTTCCCGGTCATCCATTGAATTATGCTTTTTAGATAACCAGCCCTTGTTTCCCCATGTATCTGTATCCTTTTCTTACTGTAATTTAATTGGTCCTTATATTTGTTTACTTTTCTGCTTCTCTCCCCAGAGATCATACTTATTTTAGAATGCTTCCATACAGCACTTCGTTTCACCCAGAGGTGAAACTGAATAAAATTCATAAATCTCATACTGCACAACTGTGTGCTCAGATACCTAGCTCAGCTTTCCAGTATTTCAAAGTAAATTTGAGTGAAAGACAGTAGCAGTGAATGAAAGAGAAAAATTTGAATGCCACTTGTAATTTTTTGATAAAAATTTTTGGAGCATTTTTTCAAAATTTGTATGTTTGTGGTAATGAGAAATTAAACACTTTATCACTCACATATATCTTGCAAATCATTTTATGCACATTTGCCAACTGGTACTTCTCTTCAAAGTTGGAAAAGGTGATTTACAGAATGTGTAATTTTCAGTATACTTTGATGTCCAGCCTTTTGAACAATTACAGTAGCATTTTAAGTTGGGAAATGAATATTGGGGGAAGGGATGGGACTTTGACATTTAAGTCCATTCTTTTAAATGCTAATCCCATCCCCAACATTTTTATGTTACCTGAGGTTTATGAGTGTTTTCTTAAAAATTGAATATCCTAGGATCATTTTTAAGGTTTGTTTTTAAAGACTTATAGGAAATATTTGTTGCTTTTTTTGCTTTTTAACACCTAGTAGTCTCTTTATTACATTTTGATTATCAATCTTATCAATTTTTGATTAAAAGCCAATATAAAGTTAAAATTTTTAATGGGGCCATATTTTATGAAACATGGATAGCACTCAATTTTATTCATTTCTTATATAGTCTTATCCTTGATTATTCCCTTTTTCATCTTTCCTCTCTTGCTTGCTTTTGCCCTCATTTATTTCTCTTTGTGCAATGAAAACTGCACCTCAATTAGCATACTTCAACAAGACTGGAAATTTCTGATCCATTGATGGGAGAACACAGTAGAAAGGCCCTACAGTTTAGAGTTAAGATGTGTTTGCTTATTTATATGTATGCCCATTTGTTATTATTATACCTATCTTAATTGATTCTAGAATATGAGACTTTGACCTATGAAAGCATGATAAGTATTTTGTTAAAAAATCCTGTTGATACATATTGAAATTGCCATTGGTAATTAATTTTTAAAATCACATACAAAAATATTTAGAAACCCAGTTGGAAAATGTGTTTTTACATGTCACCAAATACACTGTAGTCAGTACTACAAATGTTAATTCTTTAAACAGTACTGTGGTGATGGCAATCAGTAATTTATTTCTTTGTCCTGTAACTTATCATTCTTGTCCTTTGTAATTCCTTACACAGTATTAACAAAACTGTACCTTATGTTTGCTCTTAATATCCGTAAATTTTAAGATAGAAAACCATTCATTTAATAGTTGATGTGATGTTGTATATAGGCAAAATGTCCATTAATTCAGTTATTTAAAAAAGGTTAACTCAACTGGCTTAGTTTATAAAAGATGTTTTGTTTGGAAGATACCAGTAATTATAAGTAATTACTTTCAAAGACAAAAACTGGACTAATTTGTTGCCATTCTTTATGGGATGTTTACAATAAAATTCCAAGTTGTTTGGAATCAATTGCACTCTTGCTGCTTTATGCCTTAAGTCATGTACCAGAGATAAATTAACAAGAAGAAAGAAATACGGAGTTAGTTTTCTATTATGCAGCTTTAGAGATTATAACATATAACTCTTGAGTCATTCCTTTTTGCTTCTTTGTCATAGAATATTTTATTACTATTATTTTTAAGCTGAGAAATAAGGGTGCTTACTATGAAAGAAAATATTTTTGATCTAGTCATTAAAATATTTGTTGGGTCATTTTTAGGTAATAAATATTAACTCTTTCAATGTTGGCTGTTCGGTGCCTTACATAACAGCCTGCAAAACACTAATAAACTGTTCTGTAAAGCTTTTTCAAAATGAATAGACTTTAATATATTGTTCACTTATAAGTTTTAACACCTAAGCTATGAATCCCTGTCGTATTTTATTTATGTTCAACTTGCCTACAAAGATTAACTGTATTGTAAATCGTACTTTAGTTCATTGTAACTGCAGGAGGGAGACAAGTAAGGTGAGAGATAAACGTTGAGCCAGGATCTGATTCATCCTACTTATGAGCCTATACAGTTCCCAGAATTCTCCTCCCAACGATAGGAATTCCACCCGGTTCAACATAAGTAAGCTGACTAAAGACCAGAGCGCATCTTTTATACATGTACTGTCTCTTTTGTATGTTTTGAATAAAAAATAAGATACTTAGAAAAATATCATTTCATCTTCTGGAATCAGATTCAATGGCCGTGAAAGTAGCTAGATTTTTTTCACAATATTCAATCTCTGGTATAATGTTTGGTAATCTCTGATACAATGTTTGGTAATTTTGTTTAGTTGTTACATTTACCTCATTCCCTAGACTTTTTTACATAGCCAAAAATTATTATTAAAGAATTTTTGTGACAAAACTTTATGGCAGTATTCACAAGATCAGTTTTTTTGCTAGGTGAGAAGGTCAAGAAAAAAGTGTTCTCTGCCTTTTCTCTGATTTATATGCCACTTACTATTTAAAGCTTATTTCTAAAAATGAACAAAATAAATTGAAATCAATATATTAAGGCTTTTTTCCCTTTTTTGCCACCTGGCAGTTGCCTTAATAAAGTTGGTGTCACCTGCAGATTATAAACTTCTAGTATATAATTTTAAAGTTATTAACAAACTAACATTGATTTTGATATTGAAGACTAAAAGTTTTTCTGATGCTAGTTTCTTTTTCATTACTATGTGAATTTTGAATTGCTAGTCAGCAATTCCCTGCTCAGCATTTTTGCGGTACTCTTCAGTTTTGTAAGTTTTATAGTAAATTTATTAAGAAATAAAAATATTTCACATTGCTTAACTTAAATTCTTAATTGGTTGGGTTTAATCATTCTTAAGGGTGATTTTTCTGTGGTTGATTTTTGTCACGTAATTCTAACTAGAATTTCTGTAGTAGCTTGTTAATTTATATTAACAACTTTGTATAATCTGTCTCGTAATTGAAACCAGTAAAACTTTCTTAAGGTGTTTCTTTCCTCGCATTTTACAAAAGCTTACAATATGTTAAAATGAGATTTCCTTACCAAATTGTATAATACGTCACTTTAAGAGTGGTATTTTGTTATCTTTGAATACTGTTCATCTAAAATATTAATGATAAGTGCTGATAGTTCTGAAATGCTTCCATGTGATAAATTTTAATTTATAAACTAGAGCTAATCTTGTGTGTGAAAATATTAGGTTTAATTTTGTCTTTTCTGACCTTCTGGAGCTAAAAATACCATGACCTTGATGTTCTCATAGTCACTAAATTACCACGTACTTTGAGTATTGGGTCTAGCCATTCATTTTTATTTCAAATATTTTTAGTAGTTTCCATGATAAAGAAAAGTAATCATTAAGACAAAACAACAGAAGATTATGGTTGATATACTTTTACTTTCCAATTCAGAAATTTAAGACTCATAAATATGATATGTTTTCAACACTAGAAATAATGTACTAGTCTTATCACTTTGTTTTGTTTAGCTTTTATTAGTATATATTTGCAGTACATATTGATTGTATTCTTCAGGGGAGTTTATGCATAAACAACGTTTCTTAATTCCTTTTATATCCCTTTGCTTATAATTATTCAAGCAGGAATTTTCAGAGATCTGAAGTGATGAGTCGCATTCTTTTTCGAGATTTATGTGGTGATCTCCATTGCAGATATTTATTGGCAGGAGTTACTATTGTGCACCCTTGCTAGTACAAAACCTAAGACTTTTTCATATGAGTTCAAATGAGTTTGAATGTCTGTCCTGTTTATATTAGAAATAGGAAATGATGAATGAGCCTATATTGTTCTTTCCCAGGTTTATTCACTTGTTTTTTATTCTTCATCCAACATTTATTGAGTACCTGTATGTCAAATGTAATAACTATTTTAGATTTTTGTTAGTCTGTGTGTGCTGTACATAATTCCATTCACTGTGGCGAGTTGGTACATCAACATAAGGCATCATATTTCTTTTTCTTCCTTCCCCTCCAACCCCTTTTTAAATCTATATTGGCAGCATCATATTTATTCATTTTTTTACAAATCCTTATCGTTAGCTATCATAAATGCAGATTAACAGGCAAACAGACCAAGAAATATAAAAAAAGACAAACAGTGACACTAAAGCAAGGTAAACTTTCAGATATAAAGAGCTTGACAGTTTACAAAGTTCATCTTTCAGTCTCAAACACTAGCATGACACTGTCAATTCCATTTCTCACATGAGAATATGTTTCAGTGAAATCAAGTAATTTACTGAAGGTCAAATGGTTAGTAAATAAGAAAGCCTTGCTTTATCCAGGATAACTACTTCCAGGTTTCTCGTCTCAGCTTTTATGTGTAAATAATGGGTTAATGCTTGGTTACATTTTCCTCCTCAGTTTCTATCAAGTTGCACGTGCATCCTTAAGATCATCATTCCCTTTACTTCTGGTTTGAGGACTTAAAGGCACGAATGAGTCTTTAAGTCTCTTATTACTTTTGGGAGGTTGGTGGTATGGGCTAAATTTTTTTTGAAATGCTCAGTTTGGAAGTAGAAAAATAAATGAAGTTCTTAAAATGTATAAAGTTACACAAGGATAAAGACACAACTAAAATACAGAGGACTTCCTCTTGTGAAGATTAATTCGCTGATAACCTATACAAGTGTGCTTTATGGTTTGTTATACAAAATATATCAGATATTGGCAGGTTTCATACTCCTATGCACCCTTGCCAGTGCAAAACCTAAGACTTTTTTCCACTGAGTTCAAAGGAGTTTCAGATATAGTTCTCAGGAGAATGCAGTCACCTTCCTCATTAATTTAGTGTAACATGTTATGAGGTGAAAGAATTTACATATATCATGTGTATAAATATGTGTACATATGTATATTCTTTGAACTATCTCTGAGTTTTACTCATTTAATGTCACTATACTCTCATTTTAAAAAATGCTCCAGATTCAAAGTGTTCAAGACAAAGTTTATTTCAAAAAGTATTTACTATCTCAACTTTTTTGCACCCATCCTTCAGAGTCATTTTAAGGAAATGGATGATTTTTTTCTAATTAGTAAATGTGGCAGTGGTAGCATTTGGTAAGTGTCTAAGTAGGTGTATATGTACAGTAAAGTGAATCTGAACTGCTGATTTGAATTTTATAACAATTCTGTCATAGTGTATATGATTACTTGGGGGAAATTTTTAAATAAGGACTTGTGTGTTTGCTACCTTTATTCTCAAAGAATTGAAATTTTGCAATAGAGTTTGAAAAGCCATTAGGTCGATTATGTTGCACTTAGTTCGTGACAGTGACACTTACATTGATCTCATTTCCCAATGCCACATTTTCTCCTCTCCGAAAAAAACTTCATTCCAATAGTCATCCAAGGAATAAAGTGTTGAGTTTTTAGCAGATAGATTATTTCATTCTTTCAACAAAGGTGATGATAAAAATAAAATTGAAGTGTTATAGAAAATAGAATATATTAATTTTTTCTGGGCTCACTGCCCAACTTTTAATGGTCAATTTTGATTTATTTTAGGTCTCAAAATAGAGCACAGCAGGTATAGCTCCCAGATCATACCTAATCAGTGCTTGTGTTAGGAGAATACAACCTAAATATCCATGTTAGAACTTTGTCCTTTCATTAGTTCTCATTCTGCAGCATGTCCTGTATACTCAAAAATGTGTCTAGTGGAAGTAGCCTGACCTGGAGTTAAGTATTTCAGTTTTGGTGAAGGGTAAGAAGGGGAAGAGAAACTAAGAGAAACTGTTGGGATCTTTCTAGGATCCATCTTATTTACAGAAGTGAGGGTAATGGGGTTTTGAGGGTTAATGAGGGGTGGAAATCTTGAATATTCAGTGTTTGTACGTAAAAAAAAAAGCACACCAGCCTCAGATCCAGAACACTGGAAACAAGTTTAGGGGAACCCTTGAATTTGTTCTTCTTATGTGAAATGGGGTGTCATAATGTCAGGATTATTGTGTTGCTAATAATTATGTTTCCGGAGCCCTCAAATCTGTTGGGCAGGTATTGTTAATCCCATTTCATGGACGAGCAATCTCAGGTATAGGAAAGCAAAGACATCTAATGGTCATACTGTTAATAAATGGCAGGATTTACACTGAGATCTCTTCCCAAAGCCTGTGATTTTAACTATTGTATGTACCATTTCTGTTGGACTAGTTTTAGTTCTAGATCTGTGAATTTTGCTGAGTGACTTCGGCTGATTATCCTTGAATTCAGTTGTCTTTATCCGTGCCACACTGAAGTTGAACATTAGATGACTTCTAAGGGCCTTCTAAATTTCTTGTTTATCCTTTCTTTATGCGTCTTCCTAATCTCCAAAATATACTTCCTGAGTCTACTTTCTTAACCCTGTGGCCAACGGGTTAATGTTACTTAGACAGACACATACCCATATGAACTGCTTTGGGAGGCTACAGTTCTCACAAGGAAAAGGTTACTAAATGCAGTTTAGAAAGTGTAAAATGTGATTGGAAAGATAGACTAATGGCATGACAGTGAGGAGTTCAATGACTTGTTTCTCAGTTAAACTGACAGTATCTTTTAAAACCACCTGACTAGAAGTGGTCCTAAGAGCAAACATGAAATACAAGAAGCATCTATTGAAGAAAATCTACAAACATTCATTGAGGTGATAGCACACGCCTGTAATTGCAGCAGTCCGGGATGCTGAGGCAGCAGGCTCACAAGTTCGAGTCCAGCTTGGAAAACTTGGTGCGAACCTGTCTGGGGATGTAGCTCAGTGTGAAGGCCCTGGGTTCCACCCCTGTTACCACCGAAGACAGGGACAGAGGGAGGGAGAGAGAAATGTACTTGAACCAAGTACCGCTGTCCCTTTGCTTCCCACTTTAGGCTGTTGCAACAAAGAACAGAGAGCTCCCTCTCCTCTCAGGTCTCAGAGTTTTTCTTCCTGGTAGGAAAGCATCAGTAGTCCTCATTCCTCTGCCCCCAGCTAATATTGCTGAAGCTCAGTCCCAGTGGTTGAAGTTGACAGATGGTGGCTCTGTCTTCCCATCCCCAACTCATGGAACAGAACTATTGTAGGCTTAGATGCAACATCTTGATTTATCCTAGTCACAGCTCATAAAGTGGTAGTTCCATGCTAGGAGACCTCAGGCTGCTGCCCTGCTCCCACTAAAAGTTCCTGTCCTACAGTTGGGGGTGCTACTGGGAAAAACTTCTTCCATTGTCCTCATCACCAATTGCACAACCCTGGCTAAGACGGTTTTCCGTCTCTTTCCGAAGGAACTAATTTCATTTCCAGCAGGAGTATAAGAGCTCTTAAGAACAGTGGAAATTGAGGAGAAAAGAGGAAATTGAAGCTAGAAGTTAAATGTATACAAGCTAGTTTGCAGAGGAGAATCAGGAAATAAGACAGTTGGGAAGAGCATTTCTAGGCTCAGAACAAATGAAAAACAAACCTATTCCTTATGTAGTCCACTGATACAGCACTTGACTCGTATGTGTGAGGCTCTGGATTCATTCTCCGGTACCACAAAAAATAATCTTTAATAGCTAGAATTTGACTATTCATTTATAATTTATGCCACAGGACAATTTAACAATCAGCCTGTAATTAATTGTAATAGCTGGTGTGGTCAAAGAAACTGGAAGAGATTTGCTACCCAAACCACTGATCTCCTGGGATGACCAAGGGCACACCGGATAGCGAGACTTCCTGGGGAGCAAAATCAATTTATTACCAGCTAGAAGATGAAACAGACTTAAACAAAATAACCCATAAACAGGGAAATAATACCAAGCGCTAGATTCGAGAAGGTGTCATTATACATATTTGCTACAATATATCATCTATAAAATCAGTTTCTAACAAAAGAGGTTACAAGTTATGGAAAAATGAAAAAATGAAAATGAAGTGCCAAAAGTGGCAGAGGGAAATAAACCCATATAAGTATCAAATTTAAGTGGGTTGAATAATAAAGTCATGAGGCAGACGCTAAAAAAAATCTTTAAAAATCCAACTCTGCTATCTACAGAAACTTATTCGGATTCAGTGATACAAATAGGTGGACTGTGAAAGGACAGCATAAGACATGATGTGATCTAAATACCCAGGGAATGCTTAAACAAAAAATTATATTAGGAGATACGTTGCTATTAATCCTCCAGCCCTCCCACTTGCCTCTGACATCCCATCATTCTTGCCCCTTTCTAAAGCAGATCTGGAAGTCCTTGGTTCTTGCTTTGGAAAGTGTGATTTAAAAAGGCAATGAATGCTCCTAATGAGTGCTGTGTAACAGAAAGGCACGCTTGGAAACATCATGGTCTGTTCACGTCCACCTTATTCATCAGTCCTGGTACCTTGCAGTTTCTGGCTCTTCTGCAATTCAAAATGACCATGAAATGTGAACATTTGGAATCAGTTTAGGACAGGCGACTAGGACAGCACAACTAAAGACACTCAGTGAAAGAAGACCTCCAGAACTGCTTTAGAAAGTGGAAATAACAATGGGATAAGTGTGTTTGAAGCAAGGTGTAAGGTCTTTTATTGTAATATTTTTAAAAATTTACACATTTGTTATATTTTTTAGTCATACCTCACACTATGGAAATAGCAACCATAAAAGTAGGATATTATAAAATAAGAAAAATAGATTTTAAAATTGTTATTGTTATTAGAGATAAGGAGTTCTAGTAATAAGGAGTTCTAGTAATAAAAGAATCTCTCCCCAGGCAGATAATGCAGCCATTAATATATACCCACTTAACAAGAAAGGGCTACAATACATGGAGCAAAATGACAGTTGGAGAGAGAAGTATTTCAGCAATAATATTTAGGGACTTGGTATCTCACTTTCAGTAATAGGACAGGTAGGAAGAAAACCAACAAGGATGTGCTCTACAAGGCTTCAAAAATGTAATACTCCAACTAGACCTAACATATAGAGCACTCTACCTAATAAAAACAATATACATTGTTGTCAGGTGTACATATCCTCTGGAATATATTATAAGGCAAGCTTTAATAGATTTTAAAGCTAAATTTCACGTTTAAAGTGAGGCAAAATGTTCAGCTACCACAGTGGAGTGAAATTAGAAGTCAAAAATAGTAGGACTTCTAGGAAGATGATGGAGAGGTAAACAGCAGCAAATTGGCTTCTCTAAGATTTGGAATCCAGACACTGGAGTGTGACAACTTGGGGAAGAAAAGAAGGAACAAGTGGGTCCCTGGACCCCAGGAAGAATCTGAAGGGAAAGTTGAAGCCCACAGAGAAAGTAAAGAGACAGACCCCAGTGCAGGAAAAAGCAGTGACAAACTGTAGTTTCTCCCAACACCTGACTTGAAGCATGAGAGAGGAGGCTCAAATCTACAGACAGAGTGATGGCAGGTGACTCCACAGGCCTCCATAGAGAAACACACTAGTGGAATGGAGCACTGAATGCTGTGAACTACAGCAATTGGTGAGTGACTCTAGTCCAGTCATCACCTAGAGAGAGTGGTTGGCCAGGTGCCATTTTAGGGAGGGTCCAGTTGAACCTGGGATTAGGAGCAGCACTGAGTTGGATTCCTCCGAGGGCTCCCAGGGGCTGGGGATGCACCATTAGGAGATGGTCAGTTAGCCAAAGCCAGGTTTGCAAGAGATACCCATCATACTGTAGGCTGAACAACTCAAGCCTCAACCCCACAACCAGGCTTAAATTCTGTAGAGTTGAAAGCAGTAGAACCAGTACCATGTCCTATACTTGCTGCAGGCTTTCTGGGATTATCCAGCACCCCATCCTAATCCTACTGCAGGCTAACTGGGATCATCCTGCATGGATCTGGGCTCTGTATGCTTTCTTTGTTTACCAGTGATAGCAGAGACACACCCAGAATTCGACACTACCACAAAATTATAGACCCCGGAAGAGAAGAAGCTTGAATGCACAGAAATACTTCTTTTTTCCTCCTCTTTTATTTTGTCTTTTTTCCCCTTGATTGTTTGTTTTCTCAGTTGCTTTTCTTGCTGCTGAGCCAAAATACCCAACACCCATGAATTAAGAAAGGAAAGGTTTATTTAGCTCACAGTTTGTAGAGGTTTCACTTCAGAGTTGGCTGGCTCCAAGGCAAGGTGGCATGGCCAAATAAGCAGCAACCTCTCTACACTAATAAATTGAACAGTT